TCCCCAGGGGCGCTTCGGGGCCCGGGCGAGCCCCCGCCGCCCGAACACGCTGCTCGGGCTCCGGAGGAGGCCCAGCGCCCTGTCGGCCCCGCAGGAGCCGCTCCGCCGGCCCAGCCCCTCCGATCGCACCCGAGGCCTCGCTGGGGACAGTCGCCCCGCTCCCGAATGGCCTCAGCCGCCGGCCGGGACTCCGGAGCGGGCCGTCCGGGGGCGGGGAGGTCGGCTTTTGGAAAGTTTGGGGCGACTTGGAAGTTCGCTTTACAGAGCGTGCACCTCTTACGGTGATTGGAGGGCGAGCAAGGGGAAGAGCTCCCTCCGAGCGCCCCGCGGAGAGCGCCAGGCGTGTGGCAGACTTCTGGGCCTGCCTCCCGACAGCTGGTTTCGTTTAGATTTTTGTGTGATTAACTGACATCTTCCTGCCCCTTGCCACATGTATCTAGCGAGCCTCTTTTACCTTATAAGGAAAATCCTTTGTAGCGTGTGGCCGGCTTTGATTGCAGGAAGGGGTGGAGCCCGGAGTGACTCCCAGGGACTAGCAGTTTTTCAGAAATACACATATGTGTGTGTGTGCAGCTTCTACGTTTACGTGCTCAGCGCCCAGCTCTTTCCATCCCCGACAGTTCAAAACCTGCCAAAAACGTGTCTGCGGGGACTGAGAATTCGCCGCATGGGGAGCTGCTTACTTTTTTGTTCTTGTTTTTCTTTTTGAGACAGCTCATGAGTCAAGCACCTCTGTATGATTTTTTAAAAGCGATTAGTTGCCTGCTGAGGGCTCCTGGATTTCTTTATGGGCTGATGAAACTGTTCTGGAATTAGATGGTGACGTTCATTGCACAATTTCATGACTATACTGAAAAAAAAAAAAACCATGGGAGAAAGACATGGCATCCTGCCCTGGGTGCTGAAGATGCAAAAGGTTGAGGCTTCCTGCCATTAAAGAGAGGCGCCCTGGGTGGGGGGTGCACACACCCAGTGGTCAGCACTTGTCCAGCACCACAAAGAAAAAGGACCTGGTTATTTGGAAGGTCGGAGTGATGTTTCTCTTCTTTTGAGGCAGGGTCTCCTGTGTAGCCCAGGCTGGCCTCGAATTCACTATGATCCTCCCGCCTCAGCCTCCTGAGCGCTGGGATTACAGGCGTGCGCCCCCATGCCCGGCGGAGTGACATTTCTTAAGAGATCCTGTCAGTGATGTTCAGGGAGTCTCCACGTTCGTGTTTGCGGGGATGTGGTGACCGGACACTTGTAATCTGCTCTGTCTGGGTCTGGGACCGTGGGGCTAAGAAACCTTCCTGACTTTGTGTCTTTGAGCCATGATCTTCTACTCCCATTCACGGACTTTTTCTTCTGCTGTGCAGACTCTGCCGCAGAAGGTCCAGCTTCCCACTAACTGTAGCCGTCCCCACTTCAGGGCCTTCTCTGTCCGGATAGGAAGAGGGTGGCATGGCCTACCCCCGCTTCACCTCTCCCGCGATCCCCTGCCCTTCCTTCCGGAGGTGGCCGCCCCGGGTCCCTGCCTGACTCTCAGGCCTCTGCAGGGCTCGGGGCAGGCACAGGAAGGGAAGAGCCTGGGCGTGGCAGGCGCGAGGGCTGGTCCTTTCTAGCTCTAAGTCGCTCAACAAACCGCTGCGTGCAGCAGGGCACTCAGTGTGCCCATGGGAGGCGAGCGAGCTGCGTGGGGGTGGCTGTGGCGCACAGCCGTGGAAGGGTCCCGCCCGTGTTGGGGGTGCTGCGTGGGCCCAGGCGGTCACCGCGCGCCGAACCGGATGCTGACTCAGCGCTCTGGCAGCGCCCCTGCTCTGCACACTGCCCCGCACTTCCTCCTTGTAGGTGCAGACACCTGGAGAAGCCAGCCAAAGCCAGGCGCGCGACGCCCTCTGACCCTTGCTCCTAGGGAGGCTGAGGCAGGAGGGCTAGCAGTTCAAGGCCAGCCTGGGCGGCTTAGCGAGACCCTGGCTAGAGCATGGGGAAGGCCCCAGGTTCCTTCTCCAACATAACATTTTTAAAAAAGCAAATGACGGTGTCGGACCCCGTCCTGGCCTGTAGCCCAGCGCTCTTCCCTCTCTTGGCCCATCTTTGTCTCACGACTCCCAGTCAGAGCTGGGGACTGGTGCCCCCCGCCCTGCCTGCCCCTGCTGATCCATGGCCGCGGCCTGAGGCTTCCGGCCTGAGCCCTTCTCTGGTGCTCAGATGTGTGGGTGCGGAGCGGGTGGGCGTGGTGGGCCGAGGCGCCGGGGCCCTTCCTGGGAAGCCCGCGGTGGGGGCCGGAGCCAGGTACCACTTAGCCTCTAGAGAACAGCGCTGGCTGTCCCCTAGCGGTGCATCCGCCAGGAGCTGCTGGGAGGCCAGCGCCCGCGTGTCCGGCCTGCGGTTGCGTCTCTCGTGGTTTTAGCCCTTTCGGTGGCGTGTGCTAAGTGCGCGGGTTCGTCGCTCCTGTGTTGACGAGACCTGGCTCGCGCCCGTCCTGGACCGATGGCTGTTCCCACTGTGCTCGTGCCGGGCTTTGTGCTCGCTGCAGAGAGGGTCGTGCGGGTTCCTCCCAGCGGCGGGGCTGGCTGGGCGTTACGGCGCAGCTGCGCGCCTGCTGCGGGCCACCTGCTCCCCTTTAACCTGCCTGCGCCTCCGACCCCTCCAGGCTGAAGGAGATGTGGCGGCTCTCAATCGGCGCATCCAGCTTGTGGAGGAGGAGTTGGACCGGGCTCAGGAGCGCCTGGCCACAGCCCTCCAGAAGCTGGAGGAGGCAGAGAAGGCTGCGGATGAGAGCGAGAGGTAAGGACGCCCCCGGCCCGGGCACAACACAGGCAGTGTCCGCGAGGGTGGGTTTGGGAAGTGCTGCCGTCCTGAGGCCCCCTTACCGCTCCTTCACACAGCAGTTGTCAGAGTGACGCGGAAAAGGGGAGATGAGCCAGGTGTGGTGGCGCACGCCTGTACTCCCCAGCATGCTGGGAGGCTGAGGCAGGAAGATGACAGGTTTGAGCCCAACCTGGGCAACTTAGTGACTTAAGTGGGAGCCTGTCTCTCAAGAAAAACTTTAAAAAGGTCTGGGATGTAGATCATCGCAAAGACCCGGGTTCAGTTCCCAGCTTGGGAAGTAAGAGGGGAGGGGACGGAAACGGAAGCGGGCCGTCTGTGTAGAGCTGCCTGTGCTGTGGGCTCACGGGGTAACCGCTGTGCTGGGGACACGTGCAAGGCAGCGCCGTCGGCGTACTCGCATCGGTGCCGGATCTGGGTCTGCACCGGCTGCTCTGTCCCTGGGCGCCGGATTGTTCTCTGGCCGCAGCGGCTCTGGAGGACTGAGGGGAGATTGTGTACGCGGAAGCTGCGGCCTCTGTCCTGCTAAATGGGCTCCTTGTGTGGCGATGGTGTGGGCCGGGCCAGGGGTCACCGCGTTTCTCCCATCGCTCAGAGTTCTCGCTCGACCCATTCACTGAGGTTTCCCTGAGAATCCTCCGGAGGGTTAACTTCTGGTTGTGGGGCTGTGCCCGTAAGCTAGGTGAACAAGGGGCTCACGAGATCGAGTTTCCCAAGCGGGGTGGAGGCAGCGGCACCTGCCCCGGCTGTTTCAGCCCCTTCGTCGGGGGCAGGGGAGGAGTAACGGCGACAAGATGGCGGCTCAGGAAGCCACAGGGCTGTGTGAAGGACCCTGCCGGGCACTGGTGGCCCTGCCTGGGGCCTGGACCAACTGCTGCTCGTGATTGTGGTCAGACCAGCCTGGTGGGATGCCGCACCTTGAGGACCTCCCAGGTGACACACCGAGAGCCTGGCAGGCCGCTCTCTTGATTGCGTCATAGTGCCAGGGGCCTTTGCTGGAGATTGCTGCGTCTCAGTAGAAAGTTCTACACTTCAGCAGGAGGACCTAGATTCAAACCCTACCACTGCCGCTTGGGCAGGTCCATTTGTTTTTGAGATGGGGTCTCAGTGTGTTCGTTACCTAGGCTGGTCTCAAACTGCCAGGCCCAAGCCATCCTCCTGCCTCGGCCTCCCAAGTACACCAAGGGACCATAGATGTACACCACGGCACCCAGCTGGGCAAAGCACTTTGCTTTCTTGAGTATTATAAGGATTCTTCCAACAATAAACATGCTGCAAGCTTGCTCATGTGCCGAAGCTGAGGCCTTGTGCCGATGGGAAGGGCATTTTGATGGCTGGCCGGGAGTGACAGTGACGGTCCAGATGGAAATATTTATCAAATTGAAAACAGCAGCAAGAATGATACATAGGCATGGTGGGCACATCTGTAATCGCAGCACTTGGGAGGCTGAGGCAGGAGGATCACCATGAGTCCAAGGCCAGCCTGGGCTACATAGTGAGACCATGCCTCAAAAAAAAAAAAAAAAAGAATGCTACATGTTGATGAGACATTATTCTGAGCTGGGCTCTTCGTGGGAGCTCGATGATCTTGCCTGTTCCACCCCTAGTAGTTCAAGAAGCCAAAGCAGCCTTGCTTCATGCTCAGCCAGCTGTGTTGTAAGAGGTCCGGCTGTCAGCGTCTCCAGGACACTATTACTGTCCTTTCCAAGTTGGGCAGACCTACTTTAGTCCAGACTCCACATCCCTCTCTTGGCTGAGACTCCCTTATCCAGAACTCCTGGACTGGAAGTATTTCAGACTTTACTTTTTTCTCTCCAGATTTTGGAGTATTTACATGTCGATAATGAGCACTCCTTAAGGATGGGACCAAGTCTAAAAAATACATTTACATTTCATACATACCTTATGGGTATATGTAGCCCTGAAGGTAATGACATGGGGTGTTTCCAGTTTCTGTGTGTTTTTTTTTGTTTTGTTTTGTTTTTCTTCCTGTACCAGGAATCGAACTCACGACCTTGCGCTTGCCAGGCAGGCGCTGTGCCTCTGAGCTAAATCCCCAGCCCCCCGTCTGTGTGTTTTGACGGTGACCCAGCACATGGAGTTAGGTGTGGACTTTTCTACTTGGCAGGGGCACATCGGGGCTCAGAAAGCTTGGGCTGGGGGTGTAGCCAAGTTGGGAAGGCTCTGTCCACCCCAGTCCCTCACTTCCCACTGCAGCCAACCTACCGTCTGTCTTCCTCTGCCCCCTCCGTTTGTAAAACCCGCCAGTGTTCCCGTCCCCTCGCTCAGCACAAACTCCGGCCTCGCACATCCCAGCCTCTGGCCCAGCACCCTGACCCCCGTGCTGCTCCCCAAGCGTGCGTGCTCTTGGGTGTGTCGGGCTCCTACTTGCCCTTGGATAAGCCTAGTATCGACATCACCTCTTCTGCAAAGCCTTCTGCGACCCTTTACAGGCCCCACTGCAATAGAACCCACTGCTGCTCCCAAGCTGGGAGCCGGCTGAGAGCGCCCGACTCCGCCACCAAACCACCAGGGTTGCTCGCTCTGTAACCGGAGCAAACTGCCGACCCCTTCGCGCCTTGGTTCCTCGTCCGCGTGTGGTGGTCACGGCCCACTTCATGGGCGGTTGTGGAGGTTACAGAGCTTGGAACAGCCAGTGGGGTCTTGATGGCAGCGTCACCAGAGCTCCGCTGTGGCAGCAAGACCCGCTCCGGAAGTTGACAGAAGGGTCCAGAGCGGGGTGGGGGTCTGTGCGTGCCGGGGTGACGATACGCTTGCTGTCCGCAGAGGGATGAAGGTGATAGAAAACCGGGCCATGAAAGACGAGGAGAAGATGGAGATCCAGGAGCTGCAGCTCAAAGAGGCCAAGCACATCGCCGAAGAGGCCGACCGCAAATACGAGGAGGTGAGGGGCTGGCGGATGCGGGCGGCAGGAAGCGGGAGGACGTGGAGCGGCCGATAGGAAGGCCCGGGGCAGCCTGAAGGAAGCCCTGCTGCTGGTCAGCTGTCCTGTGTGCACATCTGTTTTTCCAGAGACGCCCACTTGGCTAGGAAACTGTCTTGCGTCGTGCCAAAAGGCCCCGTGACCCTGGTCTAACCTGGGGGGAACCAGCTGAACCACAGCTGTGTCCTGTGGCCCAGCCTGGCAAGACTGGCCCAAGCAGCGTGGTCCGCAGGGTGACTCCTCCGTCCCTCTTCTGCCCGCCTCTGGGGTTCCGCTGTTCCTTGCCTCTCGGCTGCCTCACTGCTGGGGCCTGAGGAGGATTTCGATTCTGATTCCCGCCGGCCCCCAAGTTGAGGGACGCACCGGAAGCCGCCTGGGGCCCGTGGTGCGGGTGTGGCTGTGGTGCTGCCATCTGCACGGGGAGGGCCTCCAGCGGATGCTGGGTGGTGGGGTCACCTTGGCCGGCCGTGCTGTCTCCACAGGTGGCTCGGAAGTTGGTCATCCTGGAGGGCGAGCTGGAAAGGGCAGAGGAGCGAGCAGAGGTGTCGGAACTGTGAGTGTCGCCGAGTCCGAGCAGGGCCCAGCTCACTCCCCGGGTGGAGGAGGGAGCTGGGTGTGTTAGGAAGACTGGCCCGGGTCTCTGCTCACGTGGGCAGACGGGCATCGGGGACTCAGGCGCATCCCTTTGCTTTGCTTCCGTGGCCGACAGAGGTGCCTACAGTTTGCCCTTCGCTGCCCTGCGAAGTGTTGCCAGTGTGTTCTCTTCTGACGAAGATGTTGGAAAATAGGCAGGACGCGTGACAGTAGAGAAGCCCGGAGTCCTGTTTCCTCAGAAAGGCCATCTCGAGGCTTTTTTGAAAGGGTCCCAAGTCACAGCCAGGCGTGGTGACTCACTCCTGTAATACCAGCACTAGGGAGGCTGAGGCAGGAGGATCGCCGTGAGTTCAAGCCAGCCTAAACTGCATAGCAAAACCCTGACTCAAAAAACAAACAAAAAAAAGTCCAAGTCGCCCAGGCTGGGCTTGAACTGGTGATCCTCCTGCCTCAGCCACTTGAGTAGCTAGGATGACAGGCATGTGCCCTCACGCCCAACAGGCCATCCCATCGTGACAGATCAATGGTCAGTGCGGGGCAGGCTGCCCGCCTGGTGTTGCAACACTCAACCACGTCAGTGCTGGGCTGTGACATTCCTGGGGGCGTGGGGCAGGCTTGACCAGAATTCTGCAAGCTCCAACAAACCAAACACCTCTTTCCTTGGCCTTGGAGGCATCCAGCTCCGCAGAGCACCCTGCAGTGCCAAGGGGGATCTGGTTTCACAAGTCCGCCCCAGGCTTGCTTCCCGGGGCTTGCTTCCCGGTGTCCGTGTGAACTCCGATTGCTGACTGCCAGCCTCCTGCGCTCGATCTCATGCTTACTCCTTCCGGCCTCATCCGTCACAGATTCCCCGAGTCCCTGCCGCCCCTCCCTTGGCAAAAGCCCAGCAGTATTTTGTGCACCTTCCAAGTGCTCTCAGCCTGCCTTGCCTCTCGCTGGTATGAGAGGGATTTGCTAAGTACACAACGTTTCATCTCAGAAAAATCCATTAACATTTTTTCCCACATTCCTTCTGGAGGCCCTGGGCAGCAGAGGCTTCTCCTTTTGCAGACTTTTTTTTTAAGGGAACTGCCTCCTGTAGGGAAGACAAGACACCCAGATCCTTTGTCTTTGTGCAGAAAATGCGGCGACCTGGAAGAAGAACTCAAGAATGTCACTAACAACCTGAAGTCTCTCGAGGCTGCGTCGGAGAAGGTTGGTGGTTGGCCTGAGTCGCGAGGAGACTTGCTAGGCTTCTTCTCTCCTCTGGCCCAGTTACTCAGAACATGCCAGGGTATCAGCAATCTGACCTTCATTTGTAAACAGTAGCTGTGGTGCCAGGAGCCAGGGTTTCCCCCTACAGAGAGAGCTGGCCAGGGGCTGGATTTGTTAACAAGGCTCAGGCAACCTTTTCCATGGGGTCTTAGTGCCTTTTTTTGCTTTTTCTAATGTATGTATGATTGAATCCAGGGCCTTACCCGGGTGAGGCAAGTGCTCTACCACCGAGCTCTAGCCCTCACCCCTTTTTGCGTTTTGGAATGTTCTTTCTCTCTTTTGTCTGAGACAGGGTTTCACTGTGCAGTTCAGGCTGGCCTTGAAGTCAGAGCAGTCTTCCTGCCTCAGCCTCCCGAGTGCTGGGATTACAGGCGTGCGCCCCCACGCCTGGCCGTCACTTCATTCTCTGACCCTGCTGTTCACTCAGCCCCGCATGGCGTGGCCGTCGCGTGTCGCTTTGCTTGGGAACCCTATATTCATTCTTTATGCCTCTGCTGACTCTTCGCTCCTTCAGAGGCCCCTCCCCGGTCTCTGACCCGGGAAAGGACCTTCCGGGCGCTCTCTGGTGTGGTCCCATCTCCTTCTCCTGTGATGAGCTTACTTACTTTTGGGTACTGGAAACGGAACCCAGGGCTCCTGCATGCTAAGCAAGTGCACTCGGCCCCAGCCCTACGGCACTTACCGCGACCAGTGTTGTGCCTTCCTTGCCGGCCTGTCTTCTGCCTCGTTGAGAGCAGTGTCCCTGGCCGCAGCACTGAGCCTGCTGTCCTTAGTTTACAAGCATGAGTGATGAGCAAACGCGGTCCGTGTGTGCGTGTCAGAGAGATGTTGTGGTGGTCACACAGCTGCTCCTAAAGAGCCGGAACCTCGTCTAGTGGCAGATTGACAATAATAAAGTGCGTTAGAGTACAACGCAGATCTTGCAAAACTGGGAAACGTCATCAAGGAGGTGACTTTTTTTTTAAAAAAGCTATTAAGGGCTGGAAGTGTAGCTTAGTGGCAGCGCACTTGGGTGCCCCGCGCAAGGCCCTGGGCTCCGTCCCCAGCACTGAAGGTTTTTTTTTTAAGCCACCTATGTGATGATAGCCCGAAGCACAAAATCCAGATACCTGAGTCTGACTCCACGTTCTCATCAAAGCTTTGTCACTTAGTAGCCACGTGACCCAAGACAAAGCATTCAGCCTTTCCGCTATCCTTGCGCCATCTGGAAAGTGGGATTCAGGAACAGTAGGTGTGGTGCCCTTTACCACAGCTGGCCGTGGCAGGCAGCTCACAGATGGCCGCCACAGTAACCCGGGGTGAGAACTCCGAGACACGTGGGCTGTCTGACAGGAGTCACAGGACGGGGACAGGGTGCTGGGGAGCACGTGCGTGGACAAGGCTGGAAGGTGGGAGGCCACAGAACGCTCAGAGGGGGCGGGCACCCTGGGGAGGGACGGGAAACACAGTCTGGGCCCCGCGGAGCGCACTGCCGCGCTTCTGCCCAGAAGGAGCCTCCTCTGCTCAGCGGCAGAGGCCGTGTCAGTCCTTCACACGCACGTCCTGCACAGGCGCTGTGCCTCCTCCTGGGCTGTTTGTTCCTCCTTGTTCTAAAGCCGCGCTTGGCTTTCTCCCACAGTATTCTGAAAAGGAGGATAAATATGAAGAAGAAATTAAACTTCTGTCTGACAAACTGAAAGAGGTGAGTGGGCCGCACCTAGCTGGCTAGTTGCCCGGGGCACGCCCTGGGGCCGTGGCGCTGACTCTTTCTGTCTCTAGGCTGAGACCCGCGCTGAGTTCGCAGAGAGGACGGTTTCAAAGCTGGAAAAGACCATTGATGACCTGGAAGGTACGGAAACGTCTGTCGGTCTGTCTGTCACACACACACACACACACACACACCCGTGTGACAGCCTCGGGGTTGGGGTGGGGCCTCACCCCCTTGCAGGGGCTGAGTTGGGCTTTGTTGGCCTAAGGAAAGTAAAATGCAGAATGAGGAAGTCTGTAGACCTTCCTTCAGCTTGCTCATTTCAGAGATGCCTTGCATTTTTACAGATCTCTCTCCCTGGGAGCTGGAAGCTTATCACAGTATGAGAACATGGAAAGATAGGGAATGTACAGACAAGGGTAATTTAAGACTCTGCTGCAAGTCTGGTTGGTGCCCCGCACAACCCAGCATTTCCTGAAGTGTTCCAATTATAAACATTCTGCCCTGTGTTTTTCTTGATATGGCCGGGAAATTCCACAAACTTGGGGTTAAAACGCAATCTCCCAGCCTGCCTGTCTCACCCAGAAAGGGTGCAAAAGTCCTGGGAGGAAGTTCACGGGGAGATTCATCTCCAGACCCTGCTCTTAGGAAACTGCACAAGGGGGCTGGGGATTTAGCTCAGTGGCACAGGTGCCTGCCTGGCAAGCACAAGGTCCTGAGTTCAATCCCCAGTACCGCAAAAAAAAAAAAAAAAAAGAAAACTGCACAAGGAATCCAAGAACGTAGCAGGGGAAGGGAGTCAGAACTGTTATGATGTCAAAGACGATTTGTCCCTGTGCTTACGTGGGAAGTGGAGCTTCCCTATAAGGGAAAGTGCGCTAATTCCACACTGTAACCTTCGAGTCGAGTGAAGACACTGGAAGTCAGAAGTAACCGGGGGTCCCGCGGTGGTTGGGAGGAAGCTCTGGCCATTCCTAGTCACCGTTCTTTTAAAGGTTTGTCATAGCTAACGCCTCGCAGTATCTCAAACCACTTAGAAATCACTCCATAGATCCCCTTTTGTTTTCATTTGTTGCACACAGAACATACTTTCTCCTAGTTCATGCTTTGTTTTCTTGGCTTTTTCTGTTTGTTTTTGAGACAGGGTCTCACTATGTAGTACAGGCTGGCCTTGAACTCACAGGGATCCTCCTGCCTCAGCCTCCCAAGTGCTGGGATTGCAGATACGCGCCACCACACCCTGCTCTCTGTTGTCTTCCTCTTGCTGCTCATCTGTGACTCTCCATTCAACACTCCCTGTACCTGTCCTTCCCAGCTTTCTCCGGGGTACTTCCGCCCTCTAGACGAGCTACGTGCTCTGAAACTCAAGCACGAAGCTGTCATCGAGCAGCTGGACCATGCTCTTGATGACATGACCTCTCTCTCAGAGGCCTCAGGGTGCTGCCCTAGGTGCTATCCGTACTGAACTGTGCTTTCTCCCCATGGTGCCTCCACTCCTGTGGGTTTCTGGAGCTCCAGTTTCCTGCCCCCGGTTTGATCTGTCAAGCTCTCTGATGTGTCTGTGACCCTGTGACTGAAATTAAGTCAGGCTGCCCTCATCCTAACATCCTCTGTGTCTCTCGTGTTCTGCTTGCCGCCTTTGACCATGGCTGGAACCCAAAGTGGATGGTTGGCTTTCTCTCCTCTCAGAGGAGCTCATCACAAAAAGGAAAATGATGCCTACTTCATTCTTTTCTAAGACGTGAAGACAAAGCCAATTTGGCACAGGCTCCCAAATGTGGCATTAGCTGACTGCTTCTCCATGCCAATAGTTTTTCCTTAAATAGAAATCATTTTGAATGGAGCCTCATCCCTCCAGACCTCTCAGGCAGCTGAGTGCTCGGCAGAACCTGTAGAAACCAGCAGGCCTGTGTGCCCAACGAGGCTCTCCTTGAATGCAGTTTCCGGCTCTGGATTCAAATGGCGGCAAGGGCACTTCCTGTTCTTATCCCTTCTCTCATGTGTCTTCTCTGTTACGCTCTGAACGGTGACTGCGGTTCCTCTCGTCTTCATTGTCTGCGGGACGTTGTCCAGGCCCCCAGGCCTGGGAGGAAGTTCACAGGGAGAGTCATCTCCAGACCCTGCTCTTAGAAAACTGCACAAGGAATCCAAGAACATAGCAGGGGAAGGGAGTCAGAACTGTTACGATGTCAAAGCAGCAAGGTGATTTTTTTTTTTTCCCTAAATTCCAGAGTGGCCAGAGACACGAACCGCTGTCTCCCTTCACATTCTCCAGGACACTGGTTTATAGTAGGAATGCGTGAAGTTGTCTGGTGGTTCAAAGTTCATGTTTAAAGCGACTCAAGAACTGATGGATTTGTCCAATATAATTCAGGTTTCAAATTCAAAACTCAAAATACTGAGTTCTGTCCTGTAGCCCACCCACTACCACCTCAGATTATTCCCAAAACACTGACAGTTTGATGTCCAAGTCACCTCTCCCAGACTACCCACCAAATTTGGAAATGGCATCAAATCTCCAATTAGATCACATTTTGGTCAATATACCTTTTGTTTTTTGTTGTTTTTTTTTTTTGAGACAGGATCTTGCTACATCGTTCAGGGTGTCCTCAAACTCATGATCCTCCTGCCTCAGCCTCCTGAGTGCCAGGATTAAAGGGGTGTGTCTCCACACCCAGTACCTTGTTTTTCATCACCCTATAGTTGCTTTTTGTTTAAATTCAGATGGAGAACCTCTGTCCCAAGTTTTTATTCATTCCTCCAAAATACATTTCTCCTAAACTACCTATAACTTTCCATCTCCAACCTCGCTCTGTTCCTATCTACCATACTTGCTCTAAACTATTGCACAAACCAGTGCCAAGGTACCTCACATATGCCCTTGGAATGACTGCACACTATCTAGGCCGTGGTTTCTGTTTGTTCCTGGGATTTTTCCAGACCTCTGTAGCCTCCACCCTTTGAAATATCTATCCAGCCTTGCCTATCCAGTCATTCTACTTAGCTAAGCACCAAAATGGAACTTCATTTACAAAGATTAATGCCATGGAGTTGATAATCTCTGAGCCTTGACACAACTTTCAAGGTCAGCTAACACTTTGAGGGAAAGTTACTTCCTCTCAGGCAAACTAACAGAATAGATACCAGAGAATGCAGATGACAGGGTGAAATGAGTTTAGGGTCTGTAGTCAAGAGACCTGCGTTGGAATCCTAGCTCTACATTTGGCCTGCTCAACCTTGAACAAACTGCTTAGCTTTCCTCAAAAATCAAGGTGAGGGGCCAGGGATATAACTCAGCGGCACAAGCGCCTGCCTGGCAAGCACAGGATCCTGAGTTTGATTCCCAGTCCCCAAGAAAATTAAAAAATAAAGGTGTAACCCTCAGAAATTGTGAGGATTTGATGACCAGGTGATAGAGAATGCAGCTCACAGCATTTCTGAACATCTCCATAGGTACAGATCACTAGGTTTTGTTTGTTTTTTGAGATGGGGTCTCGCTATGTAGTTTAGGCTGGCCTTGAACTCACTGTGTAGCCCAGACTAGCCTCAAACTTGTGCTGATTCGCGTGCCTCAGCCTCTCAAATGGAGGGATTACATGTCCAGTGATTTTTCTTAGGTACCTTCTCAAATTAAAGGTTCCACAGGTGTAGTAAAAGGCAGCCAACTTCTCCAATTTTTTAAAAATTTTTTTCTGTCTTTTTTGAGACAGGGTCTCGCTGTGCAGCTCAGGTTGGCCTTGAGCTCACTTTGTAGCCCACGCTGGTCTCGAACTCGCAACGATCCTCCTGCCTCAGCCTCCCGAGTGCTGAGATTACAGGTGTGCGCCACCACACCCAGCTTCAAAAAATTCTTTTAAAGAGAATTTAAAAATAATAAAAAAACTAGAAACGATGCACAATTACACAAAACAAGTTGATAGGAATTCAGCAATGGTTGTTATATTGCATGTTGCTGTCTTCAGATCAGTTGTTCAGATTACCACATAGAAGCATGCAAAATTTTTTGCACCTCTCAGAAAATTTCCAGGCTATTCATATCATAGTGTACAAGGCATTGAGGCATTTTACTTTCCTTCCAGTATTTTAATGACTCTTGGCCTAGTCCCTTATCTGCCATCCCTCACCGCAAACCAGTCCTTTCTCATGCTTTGTCATGGCTCTTTTTTTAGTTTGTTTTATCAGCTCAATCACTGAAAAACATGCCTGCAAATATAGTCTGGTTTTAATTTCAGTCATGTCACATTTACCAGAGATGGACTTGACTGGTGTGGATACACCGGCACGATGACACAAGTATGCCTGGAATTGAAGTAGCCATTCCGAGCAGCTCCATAGGAAAGATGGGCTGTGGGATTACATTTTCCTATCAAAACATCAGGAACTAATAACTGGCATTAGGGGGAAATTTTATTAAGTCACCCACATACTACAATCTTAAGTTTGTGTAACGTGTGTGTCCTGAAGTATTTCTCTTCTGTCCTTCATAACATCTGTATCATCCACTGGTACTATTCCACCCTTTTGACAAAATGGGAGAAACTGAGCCCTAGAAAAATTAAATGGCTTACCTCAGTGGCACAGCTAGAGTTTAAACACAGGTGCTCTGACTCTAGGGTTCCCAGACTCAGCCAATGAAAGTATATAAGACACTGAGTTAAATCTGAATTTCAGACAAGCAAAGAATAATATTTTTTGCCTGTGTATATCTCATGCAACATTTGGGACATACTTATTCTAAAATACTATTTGTAGTTTATCTGAAATTCTATTTAACAAGGTAACCCTGTATTTTACCTCGCAACTCTGACTTCAAATTTTGGTTTTTGGCCCCTGTTATCCCATCTTGTTCTGCTGAAATTAAAATGAAAAATACTTTCTGTATTGTGACTTTCACTTTGTCAGTGTGGAAGTTTATTTTAGAAACTTTTTTTTCTTCTGTTTAGCAAGGATGCTTACTCACTTTTCCCTTCTCTCTTAATCCCGTCCAGAAAAACTTGCCCAGGCCAAAGAAGAGAACGTGGGCTTACATCAGACACTGGATCAGACACTAAACGAACTTAACTGTATATAACCAGAAACGGAAGAGTCTTGTTCTGAGAGAAACTCCAGCGCTCCGTGTCATTCTCTTTGCCTTGTAAGAAGTTTCTTTTGTTATCACGTCTTCGCTTTGCTGGAAATGTCAAGCCAATTATGAATACATGACCAAATATTTTATATCAGAGATGCTTTGGGCACCAGTTAAATCTAACTCCTTCTCCCCCTTTTTTTCTTTCTGAATGGCACCGGCTTTTTGAGCTCTATTTTTACCTTTAAGTTGCATTTATTCCTAAGGTAGGCAGGGTATTTCATATTGAGCACACTCTCGAGACTGAGGTCTGCTTTCTGGGAGAATCCAATCCCACACTTTCAAAACAGCCTCTGGTATCTCGTAGTGGGTTTTAAATGCTGAAGAATATGAACTCTCTGGGTCCCCCCTGGCCGAACAACAGGAGGTTAGGGACCATCACAGTAAAATGATGGGGATTTTCCATCCAGAGCAAAAAAATAAAACAGGGCTGTTGTGGGAAGTCGTAAACCACAGCTAGATTAACCTAGTCATCCTGGCCCTTCTCCATGCTCCACTGCAGAACAAACATCCTCCGAGCCGTCAGCACGAGAATGCCCGGGAAATGGTCATAATATTTACTCAAGTCTTTTCTGGACACATCCTGAACGCTACGCTCTTCCACATATTTCATTCTAATGTGGTTGTCTGATGAGTGGGTCCCTCTAACAACGGCCCACGCTTGTCTGTTCTGATGTGAGGCCGTACACTCGGCAGGAATGTGGTATTTAATCCTGTCCAGCTCAGCCATATTCAGGTGACTGCTGGCCATCAAGAAACTGAGCAAAAGAATTGCTTTCTATTAAAAACACGGGGCAGCAAAGTAGACATCAAAAAGTAATTGGTGTAGCTTCATCTCTGCACTTCAGGGAACGACAAATGGAAGATTTTCTTAGCTAGGACTTGAATTCCTTCTTCGGGACCAAGTTACTAAAAGTTCCAAAACTCCTGATTCAACTGGATATGGAGAATTTTGTAGGCAGGAGCTGCACATGTTGGTTTTGTACTTTTTGCTTTCTCAGTTAACATCTCAGAGCTGAAACATTCCATATTCCCCAGCAGTGTGGGGGCCAATTCCAGTTTACAATTCTGACCAAAAGCCACCCCTCTTCTAGCTTAACTGAGTCCCCTGCCCCTCACTCCTATTTATTAAGCATCACACTACCAGGAGATACACTAGCGAATTGTGCAACTGAATAAAATTCATACTCTTCTTTAGATTCTTGCAACTGTATCATATGTAATAGTATATCACTTTTTCTACATTTTGGTCAAATAAATTTTTACAGAAACTACCACTTGTGTGAATTTTAGAATTTGTGGGGACATACAATGCATTTTGGTTCAACAAATGTTAATGGGGACGCAAAGACAAGATAACTGTGCCAAAAACTTACCAAATGTTACATATTTGCTTTATACTGTGACTTCATGATAAAAGGATTATGATCTCCATATTGCAGATGAGCGCTCTTGGCCTCAAGTAACTCAAAAGCACCTGTCCTTTGTCCTCCCTAGTCCTGCCTGAGCCGCGCTGTGAAGGATGAGTAGGAGTTTCTTACGGTAAGAACAAGGAAGATGCTGTGCACTGCCTAAGTTTGGGAAATACCAGGCCTGCCTGGATAAGGATGTGTGCTGTACCTGTGAGACAAAGCAGGGGGCAGAGATGTAGCTCAGTGGAAACGCACTTACCTCACATGTGTGAAGCCTTGGGTGAAACCTCAGTTCAAAAAAAAAAAAGCAGAAGTGGAAAAAGTGGAAAGTAGGGCTGAGTCCAAACTAGCGACAACCTAAATGGGTCAAGAGTAGAGAACACTGAAAAACTGAAATAAATTAGGAAAAGCCACTTAGCGTTCACTTTCTGGAAGGACTAGAGTCAAGCAGACAACAGGCGGGAAGGCAAGTTGGGAAAATGTTTCAACAATCCAAGGTCATGACTGCATTGGACAAGAGGGAAGTACTGCTCAAAAAGAAGTGATCCTAAAGTTAAGCTGACTGGGTGACTAGGAGTTTAAAGAGAATGTGAAAGTCTATAGTTTCACTACCGTAACTGCTGATACTTGGCTTCAAGATCTTACCTTGGGGAGGGGAAGTAAAGAATCAGAAAGAGAAATGAAAACCTTTAAAATAAGAATACAGTGTGCAAACAACTCTCTGTTATCAGCTATCATTAGACACTTCCTGTTAGTTCACTGTGGAGTCAAAGTAAATTCTTCTCCATCTCCCGCACCACTGCTAGGCTGAAGTTCTCCTTTATGTACCTCTTTTCTCCTGCCCACCCTCCTTGGGTTATAATCTAATCCCAGATAGTGTTGTAGTCACGCTTGTGCCTCAGCACTTACTATAAAGTGTTCACTGTTAACCGACCTGTGGAGTGTGAGGTTAGGCCGAGGTTGTGAGGGGCACTGCACACAGGTAAAGATTTTTTTATTGCGCTGAGAGCCCACCGATAAATATTCTACAGCGAGCGTACTGCAGGGCAGCACCTAGGTTAGCGGAAGTCAGTGGTCAGAGGGACCCGTAGAGAAATGTGATGATCAGAGTGCCGCAACGAAGACAGAAAAGCAAGATTCAGAAGCTAGAGTCTCAAGCTCTCTATGAGAACCAGGATAGGGGAGATCACAGAAAGGTGTCCAAAACTGTTGTTAGGTTTCACCGAGAAAAGAATGAGAAGTGAGCCTGGACAGATGAGTTGAGTTGTGGACATGCTGCGTTTGAACTTTCTTTGGCAAATCCAAAGGCAAATGTCCAGAAAGGAGGGAAACATGGGGGAATCACTGGAAAAGTGGATAGGAAACAGCATCTCGGCATGGAGACACTGGAAGCCACAGGAGTGAGGTCACCCAGAAGGGAGAACACAGACAAGGAACCGTGAGGAGCAGCAACGTTTACAGGAGGAACAGAAATCCCCCAGAAGGCTGCTGTGGGCTCTGACAAGCCACTCAGGGGGAAGTGAGGTGGCAGAAGTAACATGCACATAAAATGGGCAGCATAGCAGGGCAAAGGGGTTTGCGAGAAGGCGGCCGAGCGTATCGAACAGCACAGGGGCTGAGGATGGAAAGCCGCTGAAGGCTCTGGGATGAAGCAAAGCCCGAGCCGGAGGGGAAGGAGGAGGAGAGGCGGCCCGCTTTCAGCCCACCTTTAGCTCAGCCCTGCGGCTCCTCTGATGGCCCAGAAGAGACCGAACCGCGTCTGCGGGGCTGGAAACGGCGGCGATCAGCTCTCGGCCTGTGAAGCGTGGCAGTCTGAGTCCAAAAAACTTCCCGCTCTGGGACCTGGGAAGGTCACGTAACTTATGGCGTTGGTCTTCTCGGCATAAAACCAGAGAGTAGTACCCACCTGGCTGCCCCGCGTGTGGGGGTGGAACCCCCGCCCTTCTCACTGAGCCGCATCCCCCGCCCGTTCGGCACTTTTTGAGGCAGGGTCTTGCGGAGTCGCTCAGGCTGGGCTTGAACTCGTGACCCTCCTTGCTGGCCTCCTGGAGTAAGTACCGTGCAGTGTGTGTGTGTCAGTGTGTGTGTGTGTGTGTACGTGTGCGCGCGCGCGCGACACCTTCGGGGCGCTGAACCAGTGGCCCGAAATATTACACAGCCAACAACTCCAGGCTCGGGGAGGCCCCCGCCGCCTCTAACTGGGGTGCGGGCGGCCCCTCAGGACGCAGCCGTCGGCGGCGACGTAGCTCCCGTGACGAGGCCGGGTGCCAGCACCAGGATCCCGGGGCGCATCCTGGGGGCTGTTTTTTGACACTGACGACCACCCCTGCCCTCTAGTCCTCCGCGGACCCGACGCGGAAGCCTCCGGACAACGGCGCCGGTGCACCCCCGCTTCCCGCGCTCGCCCTTCCCGCGCTCCCCTCGGCGCCTTCTGCGCCTGCGCGGGCCGCTGGGGCGCGCCTAGAGACCCGCCCTTTAAGCGAGGCGCCCTCTGCTGACAGCAACGGTCTTCCCCGTGCGCATGCGCAGGCGCGCCAGCCAACCCCTCAAGGCAGCAGCGGGCGGAACAGTTGGGGCAATCCCGCCCTCGCTCTCCCTTCGAGAGGCGGGGCGGAGCCGCCCCAGGGTTGCGGGAAAGAAGGCAGGGACGCTGGTGCCACGCCCCCTCCCCATCCCCATTTGAAGCCCCCGACTCCTCAACACTGGCCAATCACAGCCCGCCCCATCCCGAGCGCGAACCAATGGGCGGTGTGCTCGGGCTGCTTCCGGCTTCGCGCGCAGCTCCCCCTTTCCTCAAACCTCCGCGCGGCGGGAGGGGTCCATGGGCGGGCGTGACCGAGTGACGCGCTTCGGGCGGTGAGCCAATCGGGGGCGGGCCCGGCGCTGATGGACGGGGCGGGGGGCCAGTGGCGAAGCAGCTGCCGCACTTCCCGTCTGGGAGAGAGTGTAATATGGCGAAGACCTACGATTACCTGTTCAAGCTGCTGCTCATCGGGGACTCGGGGGTGGGGAAGACCTGTGTCCTGTTCCGCTTCTCCGAGGACGCCTTCAACTCCACGTTCATCTCCACCATAGGTAGTGGGCCGGGGGCGGAGAGGGCCGAGGCGCTGCAGGGAGCGGGGCGGCCTCGCCGTCGGGAGACCGAGGCCGGCCCCGGGTGCTGGGGAGCGCGTGGCCCAGCGGGGTCCGGCCGCCCGCGAAACTTTTCTTCCTAGATCCCTGGCGTTGAGGAGGGGAAACTGAGGCAAGGGAGCGTGGGGACCTCAGCGAGCGCCTACTGTGTGCCCTCCGGAGTTACGTGCCGGGGTGGGGTCGGAGCCCGGCTCCCAGGGAGGGGTCTGAGTCCCAGGGAAGGTGGGGGGCCTCCTCAAGGTCACAGCCTGCAGGTGGCAAGGATGAGCTGGGCACCCAGGTGTGTCCGACCCCAGGGCTCGGGGCCCAGCCGTCCCAGAGAGACTGCCTTGCACCCCGCCAGGCGCCCCCGCCTCTGCTGCCCCTAACTCTGGAATGAAGGAGACGAGCCCCTCTCCCTCCCTGGCCTTGTCGCCCCCCCACGGGTGGCTTTTCCTCTAGAAGGATGGTGACAGTTACCCGCCCCGGGACCTGTCATCCCGAGCAGAGGCGAGATAAAAGCCTCCGGGAGAAACTAAATCAGCCCCTGCCACAGGCGGCCTGGACTTCCCTATCGCAGAGCCCAGCATGTCCACTGTTGCTTTGCAGACAGCTTTCCCCCGCAGGGCCAGCCCACACTGCAGTTGGACAGAGCGGGCTACTTAGTCTCCGATCCGATGTCCGCAGAAGCAGGACTGACTTCTCTTCTGGCCACCAGGAAAGGGTTGGAGCAGAACGGCCTAGGAGTGAGGCAGGGGTCCCCAAGAAAACCCAAGCAGGGGGCTTCGCACCGCCCGTGTGGTGTCAGCCAAAGCCGTGTGTGAATTCCTCCTTGCCCTCTTCTGGGACCTGTACTTGGTGAAACGATCACATGTCCTATGTAAAGTAGAGGGAATCGGGCTGGGAGTCGTCGTGGCTGGTTTTGGTTGCTGTTCGCCCTTGCCCCAGCACTGCCCCTCTCTGAGCCCTGTTTCTTCAGAGCAGGAGCAGCGCTGTCTTCCTGGGCCAGCCGCCCCAAGGCTGAACTTTAGGATGGCTCTGGAGTCCCCACCAACCAGGAAGTGGTGTCAGCTCCTAGCAGGCTGCAGCTCACTGCCAACCCAGGCCTCACTCCCTCACCCTCTGATGCCCCCCTCCAGCGGACATCAGCCAGACCAGTTCAAGGGTCGGTCTTGGTCTGGTTTGCAGTTCTCGACCAGAAAACCCACTGCAGCATTCTGGACTCCAGGCAGGCCGACCCCCTCGTGTGACTCAACCGAGGCCTCCTGGGCAGGTGGAGGCAGCACTTGAACCCAGGCGCCCTCCCTCCAGCCCAGCGCTCGTCTCTGACCCCTGAAGCCACCCTGCAGCCCTCTGTCTTCTGGGGAAGTCTCATTTGCCTGGAAGTTACAGCCTCGTAATTCTTGGGCCTCATAAAGTGTGCGCTTCCTGAGTTAAAGCCGGTGTGTTCGTAAAACGCAGGAGGAGGTGGGAAGAGCGATGCCGGGGGACCAGACTGGAGGGCGGGCCTCGGAGTGTGTGTGTCCCTGGGCACCGGGTTCAGAGGAGTCCACTCCGGGCTCTCAGCCCGGACACACTGAGTGCACACAGGGGACTCCGCGCTGGCACGCCGCGCGCCCGGTTTCCGTTATAGATCGGTGACTGCTGGCGGCTCACTTGCTGCCCTGGCTGTGTCTTGCCAGAGTGCATTAGCATCGGCTCCATTGACGTTCAGGCTGTGAACCTGGCCGTGGCTCCCTGGAGTCGGCTCCCCAGCCTGGCGCGGTCCTCCCGGCCTCCTCAGGGGCCGCCTTCCTTGCTTGGGTGACAGGGACGACTTTGGTCGGGGTCCCAGTTGCCGAGCGTCCTTTCACCTGGGTCCCTCTCCGACCCGCTGCAAGCCCCACCTACGTCACTGGGTGTGGAGGCCGCAGAGGCCTGAACTGAGGGAAGCACGGTGCCTGGAGGGCTGAAGGAGTCTGTGCCGGCCGGGCTGGGCTTCTGGCAGATCCACCCTGGCCCTGCGGGCTGAGCCACTGGCAGTGACACCGGTGTCACTTCGAGCCCCTGCCTCGGGGCGCCTGTGTCCCAGCGGGTGAGAGCCGCTGGCAGGCTGTGCCCTGCTGGTCCCCAGGACAGCTCTGGAGGTTGCTGCAGACCAGATATCGCCCCCAGCCTGGATGCAGAGGGCCGGCCGGGCGCGTGGCCGCCTGCCCTGCGGCGCCTTTCCTTCTACCCCCAGGTCCACAGAGCGATCACCTCCTCTGTCGCTGTGGCTGTGGCTGCGTCCGTGGGCCCCCAGGCCCCGTGTCTGTGAGCTCAGCCAGCTAGACCCGCACTGCTGTTTTAAACAGTTTCTTCTCCACCAAGCACAGACTTTCCTGTCCTTCCCTCCTAAGCGTGCGATCCTGAGGGAGCACATTCGTTGCCTTGAGCGTTCCAAGCCACCCGGAGGGCAAAGCCTGCGCTGCCTTGTGAAGGAACGCCGGCATCTGCACGCTGCGGTGGCTTCGGGAGGTCCTAGCATCCCGTGTCCGCTGGGGACAGCTGTGTACAGCGTCAGGGGAGGGCAGGCGAGCGTGGCCAGCAGGCAGGGCTCGAGGGCACACAGGCAGCTCCCTGCTCTGGGGAAGCCACTGCAGGGAGGGTGTCGGCTTTATTTTTAAGTAACTCCTTGGGCACACCGTTCAAGTAGCGTACAATTCCCCATTTAAAGTACACAACCTGGCAGCCTGCAGTAGAGTACAGAATCACACAGCTTCCACACAGTCAGCTTAAAACACTTTCACTGTGCAGAAGCGAGCCCCAGAGCCCTCGGCCAGCCCGTCTCCTGCCCGCTCTCCACACCGCGCTCCTGTGTGTGGGCTTCCTGCGCTGGGCATTTCCAGTGGGGTTGTGGGTCTGTGGGATCCTGTTTCCAGCTTCTGCTCTGCTTCCTGGTAGTTGGGTGGTTTTAAAAAGCTCCTTTTTAAAGGCTGTGTGGTATTCCACTGCACAGGGGGGCCACGTTGTGATCAGTTGTGTGTCAGCTGGCACCAGTTTGGTTGTATTTGTAGGGGCTGGACAGGGACTGTGCGAGAGCCTTGGGTCGGGGAGCACTTCAAGGTCACCTGGGCAGGGAGGGTTAAAAGCAGCAGGTGGGAGAGAAGGTGATGAGTCAGGAAGGCTCCTAGGAGGTGACCTTTGAGCCAGCAGTTCACGGGCAGGTGGGGCGCAGGCCACCTGCAACAAAGGGTGCGTGTGCTGGAGCACAGTGGGCGAGGGTGTGGCCTGCGTGCCCCGTGCATTGTGGGTCAGGGTCCTGGGTGCTGCAGAAAGGGGCGCGGTCTGTCGCCAGAGCACTGTGGATAGGGGTGCTGGGAAAGGGGAGGCCCGAAAGGGGCAGGAGGGGGCATGACCCATGTGCCGCAGGGCATTGTAGGCCAGTGCCCTGGGTGTGGGGGGTGGGCCTGCCAGCCTGCCATGGGCAGTGAGGCCCCCTGGTGGTGCCCGTGACTGTGCCCTGCGCTGCCGGCCACCTTCCCTCCGCACAGCTCCCTCAGCCTCTGCCTCTGCCCGGCTGCGGGTCGTCTGGGGGCTTCGGCCTTGCTGGCGCCTTCTGTGGTCCAGGCCTGGGTGCTCCGGGCGCCAGAGTGGCTGGTGCCAGCTCAGGTGCCGCGTGGGGCATGGGTGGACAGTGACGTGTTGTTGTTTTTCTTGAAGGAATCGACTTTAAAATTAGGACCATAGAGCTGGATGGCAAGAGGATCAAACTCCAGATTTGGTGAGTGTCGCTGCTGGCTGCCGCCCTCCCCTGGCCCCTCCTGGGACCCCGGCTCCTACGTCTGAGTGCCCCGCCCTGACCCATCACCGCCGCCCAGGGGCTGCCCCGTGCCTGTTAGCCCAGCGCAGCGGCCAGACACACGGCATCTGCGGGCGTGGGACGGGGGGCAGTGCTCTGAGCCTGGCAGCGCTGAGGGCTGCAGGGACGCCAGGGTGCCCTGGGTGGAGTTGCTCTCCGAGCTGATGTCACTTCCTCTTTTCTCCCTGGGAAGCCACACCTCCTGCACCGTCAGACCTGTGCACCCTTCCTGCCTGCCCGGCTGCGTGCCCCCAGGGAGAGCGGGACAAGGTGCCCATCCCCAGCATGGGCGCTGGCCACAGCCCATCCCTGAGTCTCACCTCATAGATCCATCCAAACTCCCACCCGGTCAGTCCTGCAGAAGCTGTGGCTGAGCACAGTGGCACATGTCTGTCATCCCAGCTACCTGGGAGGCTGAGGCAGGAGGATGACAGGTTCAAAGCCAGCCTGGGCAGCCTAGGGAGACCCTGCCTCAAACCGGAAAATAAAGCGTGGCCCTGCGCCCGCCTGCTGTAGGAGTCAGCAAGTCGGTGGGCGCCAGGACGAGGCAGTGGTAGTTCAGGGCAGGGGCGTGGCGTGCGGTGAGCAGAAGACACGCCCCAGCCTCGCTGGGCTGTGCTCTGTTGGCAGTCCTTGCCAGTGCCAGGCGGTGGCTGGGCGCGGTCGTGCGCCCCGTCATCCCAGCTACTTGGGAGGCTGAGACAGGTGGATCGCAGGTCCTCCCTGCCAGGCACTGGGCTGGCCGTGGTTTGTCTCCCCCACGTCCCTTCCTGGGACCATAGGTCCCCTTTCCCCGTTACACAGGCGGGAAGGGAAGGTCCTTCGTGTGCCCCAGCCCCACACCACTCTGAGCGTGCCTCCAGGGCCCCCTCCCACGCAGGCCCTGCGGCTGCACCCCAGAGGCAGCGTGGCCCCTCGAGCCCAGCTCCTCCTCCGGTCCTTGGCGGGAGGGGTCACCACGGGGACCCGGGACGGCCGGTGCACTAACCCCCCCCCTCCTCACGCTTAGGGACACAGCCGGGCAGGAGCGGTTTCGGACGATCACGACGGCCTACTACAGGGGCGCCATGGTATGCGTGCTTGTCCTCCTTGCTGTTGCTGCGGGGCCTGTGCTCCTGGGCGCTCGGGTCCCTCAGGCTGGGGCGGGCGTGTCCATCCACTCATTCCCCCACGCTGCAGAATGCGCAGGAAGTGGGCCCGAGGCAGGCTGGGAGCCGGCGTGCCTGGTCAGGCCGCGTCAGGCCTATGGAATCCGTTCCCGCAGCCCAGCCCACGGGAGCCGTCCTCGCCCAGGCCTTCGGCAGTGCCTTGACAGGGAGACCGCCTCGCAGTGATTTCCCCAGCACCTCTGGGCTGGGCTGGGCTGGGCTGGGCTGAGCTGAGCAAGGTGCCAGAGGCAGCTCGGGAGGGGACAGGGCCGCCGCACAGGTCCCAGGTGTTTACAGACAGGAACCTTCACGCCCCACTGTGCCGGCCAAGGACTCCGGGTGCCCTCCCAGCTCTGTCGGGATGGAAGCCCGGGCCTCACGCTGAGCCAGCTCCATTGCCAGCCCTCTTTTATTTTATTTTGAGTCAGGGTCTCACTAAGTTGCCCGACCTGGGTTCAAACATGTATCCTCCTGCTTCAGCCTCCCAGAGTCCTTGCTGGGAGTGGTCACCTCCCCACTCCCCAGCGCCCTTGCACCTCAAAGCACCCCTTGCACTCCATCACCCTGTCGCTGGAGTGCACAGGCCGTTTCCCCCCAGGCCCCACTCCTGTGCGCCCCTCCTGGCCCTGGGTGTGGGAGGCGCGGGGCAGAGGGGCAGAGTGAGTGGAGCTGGTCAGTGTTCAGAGTATGGGGAGCGCAGTAGGGACCCCACTGTGCAGACTGTAGCCTGAGGGCCTGTGTTAGAATCAGCCGGGGTTTCCCTCCCCAGCCCACCCTGTCGAAAGGGCCGTCTGACCCTGGGGCTGGCTGCATCCCTAGGTCCCGGCCCGCCCTGTCTCCCTGCATGTGGTCGTGACTTCCCGGCACAGGGCCCTTGTCCCTCCGTGGCCGGGCCTGGGAGATGCAGAGGCTCCGGCCCCAGCGCCAAGGAGATCATGGCTCCCCATCCTGGGCCAGTGCTGGCTGGACAGCACTCCCTGCCCCATGAGGCTTTTCCACTTTAAATCTGTTGGAATTCTAGCGGAGTCTGGTGGCACAGCCTGTCATCTCAGCTGCTCAGGAGGCTGAGGCAGGAGGGTCAAAATTTCAAGCTCAGCCAAGACAATTTGTTGAGATCTTGTCTCAAATCATAAGAAGAGCTGGGGGTGCAGCTTAGGTTTCCCTGAGTCCAACCCTAATACCTCAAAAAAATTGAAAATGGAGCCAGCCGTCAGGCCAGCACCCTCAGGTGTCCCGAGGCTGGTGTGGCCGGTGGCAGGAGGCAGGTGAAGACGGAGCAGAGGTTACAGCCACCATCATTGGCACCATTAGCGTGGCCCAGGCCCTTGGGTGCAGAAAGCCCGGCTTTGGCAGCATTGGCAGGGCAGTGTCCCCGGCCAGGAAGCAGGAGGCAGGTGGTCACCCGCTGCCCAGGGGTGTTCCAGGCGGACCCGGGGCGGTGGTTCTGCTCCCGGTTCCCGGGTGGTCCCTGGTCCCTGCAAGAGGTCAGAGTCCGAGACTCGCAGCTCTGGGAGGGGCTGTGGCAGAGCCACAAGCTTGGCCCCAGGCCGCCCCAGGGTGCCTCACGTGGCCCTCGTGGCCCTGACACGGGCTCCTAACAGTGTCAGCAGCTTTTAGGGCCAGCTCACGGCTCTGCCTGCCTCGGTCTCCCCATAGCACGGAGGGGTCCAGGCCCTTCTCAGCAGCAGCAGTGAGCCCCCTGCAGAGGCAGAGGCAGCCATGCCGTCCCAGGGACCAGGGACTCTCCTGCTCAGCTCTGCAAATCAGTCGGGGCCTGCACGCGCCCCTGCTCGGGGGCACGGAGGCCACGCAGCTCTGGGGACAAGGAGTCCCGACAGGCCGCCTTCGGGGCCGGGGTGCCCCACACAGGCCCTGCCCGCTACTGACAGTCTCGCACAGCCTGGGGCCCTCGCCTGCAGGGTGGGGACGCGGGACCACCTCCCCGCCGGGCAGTGTGGTGGCGCACAGGGCGGGACCTTGAGGGCCACCGGGCAGTGCCAGGGTGCTGTCAGCGCTGCATAGCAGGGAGGCGACAGGCAGAGGCTGGGGGCCCTGCTGTGGTCCTCCCACACCCTCGGGAACTGGCATGTCACCAGCCGTGTGTCACGAGCCGTGTCCCCGCCCCACACAGGGCATCATGCTGGTCTACGACATCACCAACGAGAAGTCCTTTGACAACATCCGGAACTGGATCCGGAACATCGAGGAGGTGAGGCTGCCCTGCACCCCCGGCCTCCCGGCCTCAGACACCAGGCTGCTGGGACGCAGTGGCCGCAGGGCCCAGAGCCCCAGGGTCGGGAGAGGCTCTGCTGAAGATTCTAGAAGGTTCCGGAAGCAGCGTGGCCCATGGGGGGCATCCGCTGGACTTTGAGCTGTAGCAGGCAGGGCAGAACCGACTGGAGCTGTCGTGGAGGGACAGCAGGGCAGTGGCCCCGCCTCCCTCGAGCCAGCTCCATCCACTTGTGCCCCAAAGTGCTAGCCTCACCCCAGCTTCCTGGACAGCAGCACCTGTGCTCTGGTGCTGGACAGGTGGGGCCTCAGGCCTGCCTGGTCACCGTGAGCGGTGGTCGCGCCCAGCTTTCCCAGGGCCCGAGAGGGCGCAGTAGCCCATGGCAGGCCGCGGCCGGCTGGGATCCACCCAGCTGGCCGAGGGCTCTGTGATGGGGCGCAGGCCGGGAGCAGTGCTGTGGGTTCATGGCGAGCCGAGCTTAGGGAAGGGAGGGGCCTACTGCGCCCCCTCCCAGAGGGTGGGGAGGGGAATGGGGGGCACAGCGGCTGTAAGAGCCCACGGGGGTGGGGCACCGGAGTCAGCTCTCGGCCCAGCACGGCCCCGGCAGAGCCCAGGCCTGGGAGCCCGCAGGGACGCAGCCCTCCAGGGGCGGGGCGGGGCGGCCGCGGGAAGCGGGCACCGGGGCTCAGCCTGGGCCTAGCCCGAGCTGCCACCGTGCCTGGCGGCCACCCTGAGCCCACGGCCCTCCCTGCGCAGCACGCCTCGGCCGACGTGGAGAAGATGATCCTGGGGAACAAGTGCGACGTGAACGACAAGAGACAAGTGTCCAAGGAGCGGGGCGAGAAGGTGGGCGCGGGCGGGGCCTCTGCGGCCCTCTTTCCTTCTTCTGATACGGGGAGCCGCCTCCCCAGCCATTATTTAATGAGACGGGGTCTCGCTTAGCTGCCCAGGCTGGGCGCGGGCTGGAGATCTTTCCGCCGCAGCCTCCCGGGGAGCTGGGCTGACGGACCGCCATGGCACCAGGCCAGTGCCTGGCTGCGTCCCGTCTGTCCTGCTCACTCACGCCTCCCCAGCCACAGGCCCTGCCCATGCCTCCCTGCCCCCGTCAGAGCCCAGGGAGCGGTGGGCCCCGAAGGGACTCTTGGGGTCTGGCCACGGCTGGCACAGCCGGCCCCGCCCGCCATCCCGCCAGGCCGGGAGCTCATTGCACACCACGTCCCCTTGCAGCTGGCCCTCGACTACGGGATCAAGTTCATGGAGACCAGCGCCAAGGCCAACATCAACGTGGAGAGCGTGAGTCTGGCCCAGGCCCCGGCCTGCGCCCGCCCTGCCAGCCCCAGGGAGCAGCTTTGCAGATGGGGACGCAGGCTCGGGTGCCCAGGGTCACCCTGTCCTCCCGCAACGCCGCACTGGCCCTGGCCCTCACCACTGCCCCGCCCAACCCCAGGCTCCCCGGGACCCCGCACTCCATGGCCCGTCCGTGGGCTGCCCTCCAGCACCAGGCGCCCCGTCCCCTGTCCACTCAGCTCCGTGTGCCCTGCCTGGGCGCGGCAGGGGACAGTGGCACGGCCGGAGCACCGTCCTGGGGTCACTGCCACCCCATCGGAGGTGGGTGGGGGCCGGTTGGCCAGGGACAGAGCTGGGCGGTGCCCCCTTTGGCCACAGTGCCCTCATGTGCCCTGCCGGGGCTGCTGAGGTGAGCGGTGGCCAGTGCACGGCCCAGGCTCCCGGGGGCCGGGGGGCCCATGCGCAGGACACTGAGCACCGTCCCCACTGTGTGCCGCTGCCGAGCACCGTGTCACCCCCAGCAGGGCCGTGACTCCCTGCTCTTCCACAGGCATTTTTCACTCTCGCCAGAGACATCAAAGCAAAAATGGACAAAAAATTGGTGAGTGTGAGCCGCTCTGTCCCTGGGCTGGCGAGTCAGCGTCCTCGCCGTGGCAGAGGTGGCTTCCGACCCTGCCGGGTGCCCCGAGGGAGGAGCGGGCTTGGTGGGTGCGGCCAGGGACGCCCTCTGCGCGCGTGGGAAGGCGTCTGGCCGCTCTCCTGGGACAGCCCTGGTCGGCTCTGCGTCGGAGTCGGGGCCTGGAGACTTCTTGCCGCGAGGTGACAAGGCACGGGGGTCCTGGGCGGCACCGAGCCAGCAGGCGGGGCTCCCTCCCGCCTCTTGGAGCACGTTGCTTGGGGCAGCCTGACCTCCTCTGTCCCGGTCGCCTCCAGAAGCCTGGCTCCGCACAACCCCTGCCGGCCTGGCGTGGTGACGAAGCGGGAGCTGGCCGTGCATCCCAGCACAGCCTGGGCCCCATAGTGAGCCCTGGACTCAAAAGACAGAAACCCTCGAAGCACCAACACGTGACCCAGGGAGGGCGGTTCCAGCACGAGGGCTCCACGGGCCGCAGACTCCGAGGCACGGGAGGGCAGCTTCATGTCCCACACAGGCCACAGGGTGGGGCCAGCCACCTCCTGGCCTCGCCATCCTTAGGGTGCACACCTGCTGCTGACCTCCTGTACCGCCGTCAGCCATCGGCCTTGCTTTTTCTCTGGCGTGGGGGCTGAACCAGCCCCTTGGCACTGAGCTCCATCCCCAGCCCTTTGTAAATATTTTTCGTTTTGAAGTGGCTCACCGGGTTGCTAAGTGGCCCGGGCTGGGCTTGAACTTGGGATCCTCCCGCCTCAGCTTCCCTGAGTGCCGGGATGACAGCTGTGCACCCCCAGTGCGCACCTTGCCATCTTTGTAAGCGTAGCCCTCAGTAACGGCCCACAGCTCGTGTCTGCAGTGTGGCCGAGGGGTCCCGGGTGCACGGGCCTCTGGGAAGCCCTCACTGCTGCCCTCGTGTCCGCTGGCCGTACAGGTGGTCCACAGTCCGGGGTCCAGGCGCGCGTGCTGCGGCCCTGACGGCCAGGCACACCCGTCCCTCGGGGACGGCACCGGCACCAGGGTGGCTGTCTGCTGGGGGTGCTGCCGGGTTAAATTCGCTCACAGAGGGGGCAGAAGTACCAGGCACCACTCTGCGCATCTCCCCGAAAGCAGCGTATTTCCTGCTGCGCTCAGGGCCGGGCCGGGCCAGGCTGGGGCGGAGAGAGTGCCCTGCGGGGAACTGGCCTCGCCATGCTGCACCCCGCCGCCGCCTGGGGCTTCCTCAGAGCTGTTTCTCCGAGTAGGTCATAGTCCAAGACCTCCCACCCTCCTCGCCCACTATGGCCACGTCCCGGGCACCGGGCCCTGGAGAGCGCCGCCCCCCGGCACACGCGTGGAGAGCCAGAGCGGCCCGGGCCCTCCTGAGGCCCGGGGAGGTGCAGGCAGTAGCGCAGAGCAGGGCACCCGGCTCGCCAGTGGTGGAGGGCACTGATGGGAGTTGGGTCCTATGGTGCCCCCCACCCCCTACCCCCAGCGGCCAGGGAGGTGGCGAGGCAGAGCCACACGGGGTACAGACGTGCGGCCGTGTGGAGGGGCGGGGACAGGATAGGGTGGGCAGTGGCTGCGGCGGCACCAGAGCCGGTGCGAACGGGTGGGTGGGGGGAAGGGCTGGAGAGCAAGTCAGAGGGCTGGGGAAGCCCGAGTCGGTACTTGGAAGGGGACGGAGGGGGCAGCTGGGCAGCTGGAAGAGAACGGGGGGACCAAGGGGTGGGTGGCCGGACGGATGTGTGGTGACACTTGACAGGTGAGCGACTGCTTGTTCAGGCGGGGATGGGCGGCCGGGTGGATGGGTGGCCGTGTGCATCTCCCTGTTGCCCCGTGCTAACCCAAGAAATCCCCTTGTGACTTCAGGAAGGCAGCAGCCTGCAGGGGAGCAACCAGGGGGTGAAGATCACGCCAGACCAGCAGAAGCGGAGCAGCTTCTTCCGCTGCGCCCTCCTGTGAGCGCCGCCCCTCACCGAGCCTGGCTCGCCGAGCTGACCGCCTGTCCCGGGCTGTGCCCAGCGGGACCCTCGAGCGCCGCGCGCAGCCTGCGGCCGCTGGACTCCATTGAGAAACCGTTTATTTTAGTAACCGCCTGATCTTTTTCAACTTGGAGATGGAGAGTGAAGAACCCACTATCTTTCCTGTGACGTCCGCCATGCGGGCCCACGGAATGGCGTCACGTGGCAGAGCGCCAGCGCCAAGGATGACAGCAGCAGCGGCCCCTGGCGGCCTGTGTCCCTCGGCCTCCCGCGGCACAGGGGGGCCCACGGGAGGCCTGTCCCTGTTGGCCACCAGTCCCTGGGCCCAGAGGTGGCGCCCGGCAAGCCTGATGTCCGCCGCCACCGACCCTCAGTTTTGGACAGATGACGGAACCGCCCCCTCCGTAACTGTTAACCAAAGGGCACAGACGAAGATGCCCGTGCACCACAGCTCCAGGGGCCGGGCCGGGCCCTCCGCTGCCCCTTGTGGGCACCAAGGGGACGCCCACCCGCCACGCGTGGGCTACCCAGGCTTGGGCCCTGTCCCCTGCACCTCCGAATGGGACCTTCTTTCTAGCTGAGATTTTATTTTTCCAGTCATAGTGCCAGCAAGCAACACCACACCCGCCGTCCACCCCCTGGCAGAGCCGGGCGACGGCGTACACGGCCCTGCCTGGCAGGCGTCCGTGCCGCCCTCACTGTCCTCCCCGCAAGGCTGCAGTTCAGCCCGGGAGCCGGGCCGGGCCTCGCCCGGTGCCCACTCTGCCCCTTTGCCCCGCTCAGCCGCTGCCAGCCCGAGTCCTCCTGTCACAGCCCCTACACCCGATTACCGGTGGAAACCGACCCAGCCGTAGTCCGCCCTGTGTCTGCCCCAGACCCGCACCTACGGAGAGAAAGATTAAAGCTCATTCAGAGTTCACAGATCTGACGTCCGCGTCTGGGCCCGGGGCGGTGGGTCACGCCAGCCACCCCAGCACTTGGGAGGCTGAGACAGGAGGATTGCCACAAGTTCAAAGCCAGCCTGGGCTACGTAGGGAGAACCTGTTTCAAAAAACGCATCGAGACACCTTTCTTGCCAGATGCAGTGGCACATGTCTGTAAGTCCCAGCTGTTCTGGAGGCTGAGGCAGGAGGGTCACAAGTCTGAACGCAGCCTGAACAACTTACGGCATAGTGAGACCATATCAGAATCTTAGGAAAGGTCTGGGGATGTAGGTTAGGCTAGTGCACCCCTGGGTTCCATCCCCGGTGCCACGGGGGAGTAGGGGGGACCAGGCCTGCCAGCGTGCCCTGGAGTGCTGCTACTCGGGTGAGCCAGAGGACTGCTTGTGCTGGGAGTGCAGCACCAGCCTGGCCAACACAGTGGGACCCTGGTTCAAATAAAACAAAAACAGGTGTAGAGGCTGAGGCAGGAAGATCTCAAGCCCAGCCTGAGCAATTGAGCAAGACCCTGTCTCAGAGTGAAAAAAAGGGCTGGAATGGAGCGGGTATGCAGCCCTGGTCCCACCCCAGCGCTGGCAGGGGAGAACGCGGGAAGGCTGCAGTGGTCATGGCCCTACCAGTCATAGGCCCAGCAACCCCCCTGCGCAGCTCAGCACCCATCCCTGTACACCCAGGGTCCTCTGCTCGGCCCCTGCTGCCTAGATGGCAGACCAAGCTTCCCGGTCCCGGAGCAGCGCGGAGCTGTCCAGCGTGTGCCCGTTCTCATGGCCAGGATGAATTCCCCTGGGCAAGGCAGTTACAAAGAAGAGATTGCAGCCAGGTGCAGCGCTACATGGCCGTGAGCCCAGCACTGGGGAGGCTGAGGCAGGAGGATCACTTGAGTTTGAGGCCAGCCTGGGCTCCATAGAGACCCTCTCTCAAAAAGAAAAAAGAGGGAAAAGAGAAGAAAAAGAGGACAGAGAAAAATCGGTTTCTCCACCTTGCAGCGCTGGGCTAAAGGTCGAGGCCCAGGCGGCTGCACCGTGCGGTATGGAAGGAAGCTGCGGCCTGGGGGCTGCTGGGGGCTGGCAGGCCGCAGGTGGGGGTGCTGCCCGGCACAGTCCCGGCTCCCAGGGGAAGGCGCGGCGGGCAGCAGCCAGGCCGAGCTGGTGTCAGTGCCGCCCCTCCTCACCGTCACCACTGCCCCCTTCGAGCGCCAGCAGCTCTTGTCCTCTTGGGACGCGTGCCCTCCGCGGAACGCGCGGTGCAGACGGCTTCCAGCCCGAGCTGCTGTGAGGCGCGTGCTCCCGGGCCTGCGTCGGAAACCGAAACACACTGAAGCCTGTAATCTCAGCACGTGGGCAGCTGAGGCAGGAGGAGCTCCAAAAGTTCAAGGCCAACCTGGAATACACAGCAAGACCTTGCCTCAAAACACAAACACCAATAAATACTTAAATTCCCCTAAACTACCAAACATCACCATTCAGCATAGCCAAACTTGCGGTGATCCTCCTGCCTCAGCCTCCGTGTGCTGGGATTACAGGCGTGCGCCACCATACCTGCTTCCATTTTTATTTTTATTAGCACATGTTCGCAGTGCATAATGGTCCCTTCCTCGCGGGCAGTGGGACATGTACATAACATACCCTAACCACCCCCCCCACCGTTTCCTGGTCCTTTTCCCATTTGCAAAGGTCTGTTTCGCTCTTTACACTTTGGGTTTCTCATATAAGAGAAACGATGTGATGTTTAAGCTCGTGGGTCTGATTTACTTCATTTAACATTGTGGTCTCAAGGTGCCTCCATTTTCCCACACAGGACTGAAGTTCATCCTTCTTCGTGACAGCGTAGTACTCCACAGAGTATAACTATCAGGTGTTGCCAGACTTTTTTTTTTTTTTTTGGTCTTTTTGAGAGGGTCTCACTGCAGTTCAACCTGGCCTTGAGCTCACTTTGTACCCCAGGCTGGTCTTAAACTCACAACAATCCTCCTGCCTCAGCATCCCAAGTGCTGGGATTACGGGCATGTGCCACCAGGCCCAGCTTGACTTTTTTTTTTTTTTTGGTGTGGGAATTGAACTCAGGACCTCGCACTTGCCGGGCAGACGCTTGTGCCGCTGAGCTACATTCCCCAGCCCAGTGTTGCCGGACTTCGCCCTCAGCACCCGGCACACCTCCATCAGCCTGGAGTTAGGCACAGACCCTAAACAAGCCTACGCTGTGCCAGTGCCGGACACCGCGAGGGACGTCTTGTGGGGTCGCCGATGCAGTCATGAAGCGAGCACTTGCGGGCCGGGCCTCCGTGCTCACGGCCACCACTGTCCGGCCCCCGGCCGGGCTCCAGAGCCGCGTCCTGGCACCTGCTCCAGCGACCGCCAGGGCCCCCAGTGGGAGCACTGAGCCGCACTGCACCTCGCACCCTCGGGTCACCCGCGGACTGCACGCTTCCTCGGGCCAGCTTTATCACCGTCCCCAGGACCCGCCCCTCCCTGCCCCCCCAGGCCACGCCTGCTCTGGACAACAGTAGTGTCGTCGCTGTCACTTAGCAGCGTGGTACCAAGGTCCCTCCACACCGTAGCCCAGGTCAGTGATTTGTTCCTCTTTTCGTGGCTGAATAATATTCCTCTGTGCAGTTGGGTGTGGCAGCACACGCCTGCCATTCGGGTGGCTGAGGCAGGAGGATCACCCCCAAGTTCAAGGCCAGCCTGGACTACACAGCCAGATCCTGTCTCAACTGAAACATGCCACTGCGTGGTGCCGGAGCCTGGGGACAGGGTGCTGCGTTCCCAAGGGCTCCACGCCGGGACTTGGCTCCTGCCCGGTGGTGCAAGGTGCTGGCTGTGTAAGAGGAGCTGCCGCGGTCACGCACGGGTCAGGGCTCTCTCGGGGCCCCTGTCGCAGAGCCGAGCCCGCACAGGCTGCGCGGCACCAGCCTGAGGGGGCCTGGACGCGGCGCCCCCCACGCCTTCCCTCCCCGACAGCTCCGTCCACAGTGCCCCGCGCTGGCACAGCCGGCCCACCCAAGGGCCCGCGCAGGGCTGCCGTGTTCCTCAGAGGAAGCCACCCTGGCCCTGTCCGGCAGAGCGTCCCCCCAGCACCGCCTTCCTGCCCCTGCCGCCACACACGTGCATCACACCCCCGGCTTCCTTCCTCTGTGGCCGCGGCCGGTGTGGGTGGGGATGCAAGGCCGGGTGACTGCTGCACCCTCTGAGAGGGGCCTGGGTGAGGGAGGCTGCCCGGCCCGAGCCTGCGCCCACAGGGTCTCAGGCGAACCCTGAGCCCCGGTTAGGTTGCAGGAGCCAGGCCCGCGCTGCACGGGGCACTCTCCTGCTTGCTTTTATTTTGCAGCACTGGGACCTTTGCTTTGAGCTGCGTCCTGGCCCTTTTCATTTTTTATTTAAGGCCTTTCTCTGAATCCCTAAGTTGCTGAAACTTGCCATCCTCCTGCCTCAGCCTCCCATGCCCGGGGTCACAGGCTTTTCCCCAGCGCCCACTTCCTACCAGCTCAGGTGACAAAGGAGGGTGCTACCTGCCCAAGCTCCGTGCGGAAACAGGCTCAGAGACGCAGAGCCACTCCAGCGAAGCCCCCGGCCGGGTCCACGTGTGCCTTGCTAGGGTCCCACGGGTGCATAGCCCCTCCCCCAGGGCCAGGCGCCCCTCCACTGCGCAGCTGGCGCAGCTGGGCCTATGACAGCTGGGGCGGGGCCAGGGCAGGAAGCGCCCGCCGCGGGGCCACGGGGAGGGGCAGTGCCAGTCCCAGAGGGGCCCAGGGCCGCGCCTGCCCCCATCTGCTTTAGAGCTGGAAGACGACAGGACCGGACCAAGCAGCTGCCTGGGAGCAGCCTCGGCTGCTGGCCTCGGTGCCACCCGACCGACCGAGCCGGCGGTGGCCTCTGTCATTTATGGGCGTCTCACAACGGCCAACCCTCCCGGCAGGCGCCCACATGGCACGGGCGACTTTGGCAACCTCTCAGGCCTCTCATCGCCGGATGGACGGGGACGCGGGGCAGCGAGCCTGACTGGGCCCCGGGCCGGGCCGGCCTGCGGCAGGCCCGCACAGCAGCCTGGGCCCCGCGTCGTGCTGTCGCAGGCCGGTGGCCCTCTCGCCCTCACCTTCGAGGAAACAGGGACAGCCAGGGCAGCGCCACCCCGAACGGTGACGCGCAGACCCTGAACCGAAACCTGTTCCTGCCGCACAGCCAGCGCCGCGGCCGCCGGGCCCGGGACGCGTCCGCAGGTAAGGGCCGGCCGGAGACAGGAGGACGGCCAGGAGCGGGCGGGCGCCAAGAGGGGGACGGCGCAGGCGGGCTCGGCGGGCAGCACCTGCACGGTGTGCGGGCCGCGGTGCTCCCAGCGCCACAAGGAACTAAACCCTAAGGCTGTAGTCTAGAAAGAAAACGGAGGTCCCGCCGGGCAAGGGCCTGGGGCAGAAGGGCGGCCCAGGGCAGGGACGGCGGCTCAGGCCCCGCAGGGGAGGGACGGGGCGGGTCGGGGCCAGGGTCCTGACGCACTAGTCAGCCGTCAGCAGTGACCGCTGCTAACTCCCTGTCACCGGTTACCAGTTACTAGTCACCCATCACTGCTAACTACCTAGTACTACTTACCAGTTACTAGTTACACATCACTACTCATGTGTAACTAGCTGCCGGTTACTAGGTGCATATCACTAACTGCCATTGCTATTTACCCTCTCAAGTTACCCATTGTTAATTACCTCTACTAGTTAACTATCTCTGTTTACCAATTACTAACTACCCATCACTAGCTATCAATTACCCATTGCTAGTTACCATCACTAGTTACTACTTACTAGTTACCCATCACTAGTTACTGTTGCTAGTTGCCGGTCATTAGTTATCCATCACTAGTTACACACTGCTAGTTATCCCACGTTAGCCATCTAGTTACTCCTTGCTAGTCACCCATTACTAGTTGCCCAGCACTGGTTATGCACCCTTCCATCTTCCTCTGTGCCCGGGCAGCCCTGGGAACCCTGGATCAGGGTGGAGACCCCAGCCCTGAGCCCAGCAATCCCCTTCCCACGTTAAGACAGCAGCCAGGACACCCCATTTCCATGGGACCATAGCTGGGCCAAGCGTGGTGACAGTGAGGGACGAGGACAGTGCCAGGGCTTTGTCTGGGGAGATGCAGGAAGGCTGCCTGGGGGAGGGGGACATTTGTACTGGGTCTTGAAGGATCCATAGGAGTTTTCTAAGGTGGGGAAAAAAGCTTGGAAACACGACCCTGAGGCAATCACGCCTAGGGTTGCTGTAAACTGTGCAGACAGACGTGGACAGAGAAAGATGTGTTGCTGAGTCAGAGGACAGGGTCTGAGAAATGTCGCTAGGCGATTGTCACTATGCCCGGTTGGTAGCGGCCATTTGCATACACAGAGGTGGGCCTGCCCAGGGCACTGCTGCCCTAACTGTGGTGCAACCGCACGTGGATCGAAACCCGGCGGCCCCGGGTGCGGATCCGCAGTAAGCGCTGGTCTGGCGGCAGGAGGCCCTGGGTTCGCCCCCTGGACCCGCTGCCAAGCAGTGAGAACAAAGCCCCCTCCAGGTGATGTCCCTGCCCCAACTGCAGCTGGGGATCCAGGTGGGGGCTGGGCCAGGTCCCAGGGAGCAGTGCGGGCGGATCTGAACCCGGCCACCTGGCTCCGACTCCCTTCCCTCCGCCTTCGCCCCGGGCCCAGGCCCCGGAGGCCCCAGCATGGCGGACACTGGGCCCGGGGTCCTGGCGAGGACAGCGCCCGGCTGAGTTTATGGACTGGCCCCTGACCACTGCTTCAGGCACGGCTAGAATTCCTGTGGCCCAGGCTAGGGCCTGCTGCTCCCCAGGCTGCAGAAAGCCCATCCTGACTGCCGTCTGTCACCGAGCCCCCGCCACGAGGACGCCTGTCGTAAAGCTCTGGAGGACTGCGGCTGGGCAGGCCCAGCACGGACTCTGGTGTGGGTCCCGGGCCACCACCTTGCCCTGGGTTGGCATGGTCTCAGCACTGCTCACATTGGTGTGGTTTCTGCCTGCGCCCCCCCGCATCACTGGCCATGCAGCCCAGCCACAGCTGGAGCTGGAAACTGCTGAGGAGGAGGCCGGTGTGGTGGCCAGGCCTGTCCTCCCAGCACTCTGAGAGGCTGAGGCAGGAGAATGCAACTCCAGCTCAGCCAGGTAACTTGGTGACGGAGGGAGACCCAGTCTCAAAATAAAAGATAAAAGCATTGGGGGTGCGGCTTGGTGCCAAGGCCCAGGGCCACAGCCCGGCACCGCACAGAAAAGGAAGGTGCGGGCTCCGGCCACGCCTGCTTGCCCCCTCCTCTGCAGGTCCCCTCGAGCCCCGGAAGTCATGGCAGAGGCTGAGAGGTTGCCGCCACCACTGCCCCCTCGCCTGGACTGGTTCGTGCACACCCAGATGGGCCAGCTGGCCCAGGACGGCATCCCGGAGTGGTTCCACGGCGCCATCTCCCGAGGGTGAGGAGCCCCCCGCCCCCATCCTCGGCTCCAGGTCCACCAGGGCGACAGGCGGGTGTGCGCTGAGCCGTGGGCTGCTGCACGGCCTCAGGCACATTACTTCCCCTCTCAGGCCCGTTTTTTTTTTTTTTTTCCTTGCAGCCTGGGGCCAGAACCCAGAGCCTGACGCATGCCCGGCAGGCACTCCCCGCTGAGCAATGCCCCAGGCTTTGTATATTTTATTGCAAGACAGGGTCTTACTAAGATGCCCGGCTGGCATTGAATTTGCAAGTCCTCCTGCCTCAGCCTCCAGAACGACTGGCAGGAAAGACTATTTTTTACCACGTTCTGCATGCAGGGGACTGAAAGAATGCTGGCAAGGCCGGCAGGACGGACACCAGGCACAGTTTCAGAGCTGGGGCCTGTTCTGTGCAGTAGAAATAGGACAGGAGCCACAGACTGCAATTTTAGATACTCCAGGAGCTGTGCTAGAGAGGCAGGAGGCCCAGACGCAGGGGCTCCTGGGGAGGCAGAGGCAGGAGGACCCAGAGCCCAAGCCCAGCCTGAGCCATGTAATTAAATTAGTGAGCCTTTGTCTCAAAACAGAACATAAACAAGGGCTGGGATGCGGCTCAGAGCAAAGGCCCTGGGGTTCATCCCAGCACACACCGCCCAGAAAAAAAGAAAAAGGAAAGAAAGTAATAATAACTGGCAGCCTGGAGACGGCAGGTCCCCGGGGAAGGAGGGCACCTCGCCCGGAGGAGGCTGAGGATGGGAGAGGGACAGACACCTACCTGCGGTCACACAGCGGCGGAACCTCCGGTGGGGTCTGGAACCCAAGGCCGCCGACTGACACACCCAAGGGACACCGCTGTCCCTGAGCATCCCAAGGTCACACAACCAAGAGAAGCTGGCTTTGGACTGTCCTTTAGAATTGGGCCTGGCAGGCTCGAGGTCCTGAGTTTGATTCCTGGTATAAAAAAAAAGAGGAAATTGGAAAGCATGGCCTCCCAGCCTCAGTCCTGGGCTCTCTGGCGCCAGAGCTGGGGCCAGCACGGGGCAGCAGGGCACTGGCCATGGCCTCCCGCACCGGCCCACCTTTCCAGGGACGCTGAGAGCTTGCTGGAGTCGCAGCCGCCGGGATCCTTCCTCATCCGGGTCAGCCACAGCCACGTGGGCTACACGCTGTCCTACAGGTGAGGCTGGGGCTGGGGCTGGGGCAGGACTTCCTGCGGAGCCTGCCAGGAGCTGCAGGTCCCGCGCAAACAGCTGGAGTCCCGCGGTGGAGGCTGGGCTCTGGCTCGGCGCTGGCAGGCCTGGGCACGACGCCGGCTCCCTGTGCCCAGCGAAGGCCCGGTGTCTGACAGCCCCCATGCGGGTCAGTGAGCTATGCCGAGCACAGAGCGGGCCCGCAGCAAACGCTCTGGCTGAGCCGCGCCTTTATCGAGCACCTGCTGTATGCCCTGCACACAGCCTAGGCCGGCCCGCCCGGAAACCTCGCCGGGCACCACTTCTGTGGCTCATTTCCCGAGGCCAGGCACCGGGCTGAGCGCTCTCGCCCTCCCCAGAGCTCCGAGGCCAGCTCCAGCGGGGAGCCCGAGGCAGGGCAGCCGTGGGTCTTTCGCTCTGTGTGTCGCAGGGTGCAGGGCAGCTGCTGCCACGCCATGGTGATGCTGCTGGACGACGGCTGCCTGGTGCTGCGCGGGGAGGACTCGGCCCACACCTCGCTGGGCGCCCTGGTGGCCTTCTACCAGCGCAGGCCGCTGCGGCCGCACGGGCAGCTGCTCACGCGGGGCTGCGGGCAGGTGAGCGGGGCCCACGCAGACCCCACCCGGGCCTGCCCCACCCTCGCTGGGAGGTTCCGGGGTAGCACGGTGGCTGCCCCCTTGGCTGAGCTGCAGAGATGGGGGGCTTCCTTATAGGGCGAGTGGGCGGGGCCTGTGTCTTGGGACGGTCTGTGGGAGGGGCCTTGTCGTGGGGCGGTCTTGGGCGGGGCCTGGAGCTGCATGTGGGCGTGGCCTGTGCTGTGGGGCTGTGTGTGGGCGTGGCCTGTGTCTGGGGCCGGTCTGTGGGAGGGGCCTTGTCCTGGGCAGGGTGTGGGCGGGGCTTTGTCCTGGGCAGGCTGTGGGCGTGGCCTGCATCGTGGGGCGGTCTGTGGGAGGGGCCTGTGTCCTCAGTGGGGTGTGTGGGCGGGGCCTGGGTGGGCTGCGGGCGGGGCCTTGGTCCTGGGGCGAGCTGTGGGCGGGGCCGGGGCCTGGGGCTGGGCGGTAGCCGTGGGGAGGTGAATCTGTGGCGGGCTGCAGGCGGGGCCTGAGTACCCGCAGTTCCCGTGGGCGGGCACTGTGAGTGTGTCTTCTCCGTACAGAAGGACCCGGCCACCACGGACTACGAGGACCTGCTTCTCTGTGCCACCACCCTGGCCCAGGACGCTGCCGGCCCGGAGCCCGACCCCGAGGAGCATCGGGGGCCCTGCTGGGGCCTGGAGGTAGGGGGTGTGGCCCCTCCCTGTGTTGAGGGGCTCAGGGCTGACCCCACCGGAAGAGGCACACCTCCCCAAAGGAGAGTTAGGCACCAGCGGGGCTTAAAGCTGTCCAGGAACCCGTCCCCAGGTCACCATCAAACCGCACTCTCAGCCTGTCACCTGCCTCTGCCTGCCCCGCCATGGTTCAGGTCCGCAGCGACCACGGGACCTTTGCACACGCTGTCTCTGACCCCAGGTTCCCACACCCGATTTCTGCTGCTAGTTGACCTTCAAGTCTCCCCTCTGCAGTGTCTGGACCTAAAACAGCCCACGCCTGCCTTGTTGGTCCCGGAAGACCTGGCAGTTGGAGGCTCTTCTTTACCCATGGTCTCTGTTTCCTGTTTGCTTCCGGTCAAAGGGCGTGCCACCCCAGCCTCAGCAATTTGGCAGCTGGGTGAATTAGCGAGACCCTGTCTCACAATAAACCATAAAAAAGGGCTGGCGTGCAGCTCTATGAAAAGGGCCTGGGTTCCATCTCCAGGGCTACCGCTGATTAATTAAGTAGAATTAAAACTAGCACAGCACTTGATGGCGTCATGAACGACCACCATGCAGCGCCAGCAGCCCCGAAGGCATCCCCCCTCTGCAGCCCCCTGCTCGTCCCTGGGAGCCCGGGCCCGCCCCTGCTGGCCGAGCTGCTCTCCTGTGCTTGCTGTGGTCTCCGCATCACCAGCTCACGCTGAGGCCACAAAGCCGCCTGGCAGCGCACCTCCCGCTGCACCCCAGAGCTGCAGGGACCAGGACAGAACCACGCGCATCAGCTCTGCGGCTGCTTGCTTCGGGCTGCTTGCGTTTCTTGTCCGGCGGGGCTGGGATGGACCCAGGACCACCTCCAGCCTCCGCACCATGCCAAGTCCGACCCGGGGAGGTGGTGCCACCGTGCAGGATGGGACAGACACAGGGACAGCTGCGAGGTGGCCCCCACCTGCGGGACGGGTCAGACCCAGGGCTGGGCGGGCACCTGGCCTGGTCACCCTTGCCTCCGTTGCAGAGCCCTCGGGAGGCCGCCCCGCCCCATCCGCCAGAGGACAAGGAGGTGTCTGCGGAGCGAGAGACGGAGCCCGTGGAGCAGGTCGCCTCCCCCCAGCCCCCCAGGGGGTCTTTGCGGGGCGCCACTCAGAAACTCTGGCAAAACCTCAGGGCGCTGCCCGCAACGGGCAGGAGGGTCCAGCAGCGGCTGAAAGGCCACCTCGCGGCCGTGAGCCTGGCACCACTTTGGCCATCGGCACCGACCCCCAACTCCAGGGCCAGGGTGGACAGTTGGGGACACAGGGCCCCCGGGGACCCTCACGTGGCCACGTCCCCGGGAAACCTTCCCCGGAGCCAGGCCAGGCCCAGGGACGCACGCTCCAGGAAAGCCACCAGGCCTGCCACCTGGAGCGGGGCCACCTCAGGGAACAGGGGCTGGTGCCGGAAGGTCACGAGGGCGCTGTCTGCCCAGCCGTCCGAGCCGAGGCCAGGGGACTGGCTCCCTGAGGAGTACCAGCAGCCGCCACCCTTCGCCCCCGGGTACTGCTAGGGGCTCACCCGGCCGGGACCCTCAGGCGGGGGCGGCCACGTCCCACACCTGTCCTCCAGGACCCCCAGGTGAGGGAAGGCGTCTGGGGTCTGATCCCACCCGGGCCGATGGCCGGCATCACAGCAGCGGGTGGGGCCTGCTCTGTGCCTGGCCCAGCCTTCCTTGGTGGCTGCGACTTTGCCCCATGCCCACAGTTCCCAACCACCGTGCGTGGAAAATGGTCTTTTATTTTTTCGTTTGTTTGGGGGTTTTTTGTTTGTTTTTTTCCGGTACCAGGAATCAAACTCATGACCTCGCACTTGCCAGGCAGGCGCTGTGCCGCTGAACTAAATTCCCAGGCCCTGGAAAATGGTCTTTTAACAACTGTATGTAGGCTGGGCATGGTGGTGTGTGTCTGTCATCCCAGCACTCTGGAGGCTGAGGCAGGAGAATCTCCCAGAGTTTGAGGCCAGCCTGAACTACATAGCCAGACCCTGTCTCAAAAACCAAAAGCTGAAACTAAAAATTGCACGTGTATGGATGTGTGCAGATGGATGTTTCCTTGGCAGGGTTTCCTGGACAAGACAGCGGCATTGGCACTGTGGGGGCGGAGCGTCGTGCCAGTGTCGGAGCCGTCCAGAGGGGTGGGAAGGCTGTGGAGGGGCCCTGAGGGGCCTGCGGGCATCCGGCGCCGTTTTGTATGAGGGGTTCACACACCTGGGAATGGTGGTGTCCCCTGGGACCCTAGAGCCTGCGGGTGCCGGGGGTGCTCCCGCAGCCCTGAGCAGGCCCACCCGGGGCTCATCCTCCCCGAGCTGGAGAAGAGACTGAGGCTCAGGAGAGCCGGCGTGGCCACAAGCTCAGGGCTACGGTGGCAGCTGAGACTTAGAACTGGGGACCACAGCCCTCTCGCACACGGCCGGGCGCTGTGCAAATCGCACTGCAGAGCGCGGGCCAGCAGGGCCACCGCCCCAGGAGGTCGAGGTCTGTAGACAAAGACGGCTCGGTGCTCAGCAGCACAGCATCAGCATCAGCTCTGCGGGGCACACGGGAGCCCCTTCCCTTTAAGAAAGGCGCAGGCCAGCACGTCCCAGCACTGGGGAGGCTGAGGCAGGAAACTCACGGAGAGTTCCAGGCCAGCCTGGGCTACATAGCGAGACCTGTCTCTAAAGGGGGTGGGAGCTGGGGATGGAGCTCGATGGAAAGCTCTGGGTTCAGTGCCAAGTACTAAAAAAACAAAAGGAGGAAGGGGGGACCCCAGGGTGCAGTGCTGTGTGGTCTTTGGCAAATCCACACCTCTCGCGGGCTGTTCCTCACCCAGACCATGGGGAGAGGGTGGGCGACCTGGAGGTCACCGTGGCACGCAGTAGGTACTTAACCAACGCAGCTGCGTGGCGGGGCCGTCCTTGGGCCACGCTGGGGGGCGAGCGTGAGGATGCCATGCTGGCAGCTCTGCCCGGCCGGGGTCTGCGGTGAGGGGATCCCAGCTGAGTCAGCCCCGCAGCGACTCGAGGTGTGACCTGGCTCCCTCCAGGGGACGCACCACCACCCCTCACCCGACCCTGCCGGGACGTCACAGCCACCGCCGTGGCAGAGGGCAGTGTGCGAAACTGAAGTGCGGGCCCTGCCTCTATGAATGGCACGCTGTCACCTCCCCGCAGAACTTCCCCAGGACCAGGACGAGAAGACACCAGGAAGCCGGTGGTGACTCAGCCTGGCCATGAGGTGCAGCTGACGGCCCGCCTTGCTGCCGCCCCAGCGACACACAGGAGGCACTGCCGCCTCCGAGGGGCAGGCATCCAGGCGTCAGCGCAGATGTCGGAAGCAGCGAACGGGGCCCAGAAGTGGCAGAGCCACCCCTGAGGCACACAGCAGGGCACCGAGGATACCAACCGTCCAGACCCAAGGTGGAAATGCAGGGCGGGGGCAGCAGGTGTGGCTCAGTGACCCTTTATTCCCACACCCGAGGGGCGACAGCGATCCTGCCGCAGGCTCCTGCAGGGGGGGAGTCCTCCTCAGATGCGGATGTGGAAGGTGCTGAAAAGAAAAATCAGCGCTAACAACATGGTCTTGCCTCCTGTCCCCGCAGCCACCATCCACACCAGCGCTATGGCGCTGTGCCAGTCAAACTCCAGGGACGTGAAGTGTGATTTCATACCTCTGTCCCCGTCATGGAAGCTGCTGCTCGTCTTTTTCTTTTTTTTGGTTTTGGTTTTTTTTCCGGTACCAGGGATCGAACTCACGACCCTGCGCTTGCCAGGCAGGCGCTGTGCCGCTGAGCTATATCCCCAGCCCTCCATCTTCTGTTTTATTTGAGACAGCCTCTCATCAGTTGCCAGGCTGGGCTCAAATTTGCAATCCTCCTGCCTCAGCCTCCCAGACTGCTGGGATGACAGATGTGTGCCACTATGCCTGGCTGAGCTGTTACTCTTATTCTTACCCGTCTGGAAAGGTACAAACCAACCTAGGCTCATGGAAGGTCCACAAACAGGGTGGACGTGGTCCGTGGCTCATCTTTTGCCAATGCTGTGGTAACTCTCTTAACGCCCCATCTCAGTCCTGAAGCGGGGGCTCTCATTCAGCCCCCAGGCTGCCAAGTACAGTTGTACAGGCTGTTCACTGTAAAACTGTTCAGGCAGGAAGAGTGAATACCAAAACGCTGTATTCACCCACAAGAGGCTCCTGGGTAACCGCACTGTCCAGATGCAGGGACTGCAGCCAGGAAAGGGAGACCCTTTCCCAAGGGCACGTGAGTTGGCAGAGGGCCTTCCCTAACAGTCTCCATCAGGGCAGGGGGCGTGTCACCTGAGGAAGTCGGGGGCCCGCAGGATCATGTTCTGGAAGTCCTCCAGAGACAGGCGCCCATCATGGTCGCCATCAGCCTCATCCAGCACCTTCTCGCACACCAGGCCGACCTCCTCGGCGCTCAGCTCCCCGCGGGTCAGCCTGGTCACCGTCTGCTCCAGGTCCCAGGCACAGATGTAGTCGTCGTCGTTAAAGTCTGCGGGGCACACGGGTGGGGACGGCAGGTCGGCAGGGGGCCGCTGGGCTGGGCACCTGAAGGCACATCTTGGGTCTCTCGCGTCGGAGGAGAAAACTGAGCCCTGGGGAGCACCCATGACCGCTGGGTGGATGCCAGGTCTTTCTTTGGGACTGGCAGGAACCAGCTGGGAATCCATTCATTCACCCAAGTTATTGATGGAGAACTTACTACGTGCCTGGTATCATGGTAACTTTCACTTACTCACTAACAAGGTATTGATTTATTTTCCCCCGGTACTGGGGGTTGAACCCAAGGCCTTCACGCTGAGATACATTCCTAGTCCTTTTTAATTTTTTTTTATTTTTAAACACAGTCTTGCTAAGTCACCGAGTTGCCCAGGCTGGGCTCAAACCTGCGATCCTCCTGCCTCGGCCTCCCCAGGGTGCCAGGATTGCAGCGTGCTTCACCACGCCTGAATCAAGTATTTCTTGAGTGCCTATTGTGTTCCTGGCACTGAGGCAGCTTTTCATTCACGCCCTGAATCAGTCTCTCCTCATGCACGCGTGTTGGTCCTCCTTTCGTGGGAGCCTAGGAGGCACCAGGAACTACTTTTCTTCGCTCGCGTATTCATTCAGCGACTAACTGCCGTGTGTCATGCAAGGGAGCCAGACCCTGAACAAGACAGATCCCGTCCCACCCTTGATCTCCCCGGGTAGGAAGGAGGCGGGCACAGATCGGCGCGGGGCGCGGCTGGGTGGGCAGGGCGTGCTGGCCTGGGCTGGGCCCCATCCTCGGCACCGCAGACAAGGCAAACGACGAAACTAAAGACACGAACAACAACAGAAGCGGGCGGACCAGACCAGCAGCTCCGGCAGCCCGGCGCCGGGCCCGCACGCACCGTAGATCTTGAAAGCGTAGTAGGCCTTGAGGTCGCGCGGGGCCATCTCGCTCATCACGGAGAACATGTCCAGGAAGTTGTCCAGCGTCATGTGGCCGTCGCCGTCCTCCGAGAAGACCTGGGCGATGCGCTGGCGGAAGGGGTTGTCCTGGCACGAGAAGCGCACAGGGGTGTCTCCAGGGTGCGACTGGGATCAGTCTCCCTCAGGGCCAGCCCTGCTGGGACCCAGGACCCTCTGCCAAGACGACTTCCGGAGACCACATGGGGGGCTGACATCACTTCCGGTCCAGAGCACCACGTGCCCCGGGAAGCCAATCAGAGCATTCCATTCATCTGCCAACCATGATTGGGGCTGGAATAGGCACATGACTATTTAGCCACTCGGAGACCTCCTGGGACTGGCTCGAGGTGCTGAGCGGCAGTTTTGTGAGCATGCAGTCAGACGTCCTGGTTCCAGCCATAACTGGCACTAACCCTACTCCTAGGTTATTGTATTTCTCAGTTCTGGGGATTGAACACAGAGCCTTCGCATTGAGTTACATCCCTGGTTCTGTATTTTAGATAGGATCTGGCTTAGTCGCTAAATTGCCCAGGCTGGGCTTGAACCATGAAATGCCCCTGCCTCAGCCTCCCAGAGTGCTGGAATTGGAGTCATGCCACACCACATGCAGTTTGCAATCGTTTTTTTTCAGGTGAACAAGTCAAAAAAGAGCTACCTTTCCCTCAGTACTTCCTAAGCCCCTTCCCCGTGTGGTTTCACCACATCCCCGGGCACCCTGGGCTTTGACCCTGCCTGCGGAGTCGCAATTGTGTGAGGTGAACAAGGGTGCTAACTTCTCCGATCCCCGCTTTCTCATCTTTTGTAAATGGGTCATGGTGGGCTGCGCCCGTGGTGCGGGATGCCGCGAGAGGACCCCTGCCATGTCCCCTGCCCCCCAGCCACACCTTCAGCTCCGGCATGCTGCCAATGAGCTCGTAGGGCACCTTCACGGCTGGGCAGCTGGTGTAGTCCAGGGGCACGAGCTGGGGCGCCAGGTCCTGGTAGCGGTAGAAGAGCCTGGTGGGGAGGGGGTGCCAGGGAAGTTGGAGCCAGGGGAGGAGGGGCTTGTCCCACGGCAGCCGGCAGCCGCTCAGCCACACTGCTGGGTCTCCAGGAGCTGCTGGCCCTGGGTCTGAGCCTCAGCAGACGGCACCGCGTGGGGAGAAGGCTGCGGAAGGGACAGCAAGGCCGGGAGATGGGGGGGCTTTCCGGAGGCGGGGTGAGGGCCCCGGCTCAGCAGTAGGAGCTGCCGCGCACCGGGGAGGCGGCTGGGAGAAAGGAGCGCGCTTATGGCCGGGTTGTTTTACAGCAAGCGCGCAGAGACTCCAGGGTGTTCTCTGAGCTCTCGACGTCGTCACGTCGTCACCAGGACTGCCTCTGCGCTCCTTACACCTTCCTTCCTTCTCTGTAAGGGCCTGGATTCTCCCAAGAGCCAGGGCAGGGGCAAACTGCGAGCGTGCAGGCTTTTAAGGGACACGGCATCGAGTGCCACACAGTGGAAGGCCGGCTTTCCATCGGATGCCCCCACCTGGTGACGCTGTGCCCTCAGGGGGCAGGCTGGGCAGCTGCCACTCAAGGACACCCTGCTCACCCTCAGGTCTTCGAGCTGCCAGGGACGGCTCCGAGGGGCGCAGAACATGGGGTTGGTGGGTGCCCGGGAGGTGCCACCACCCCCGGCCCACACCCCCCATGGCTTCCTGCACCCTGGGAGGAACCTGAGCTCAGCCCCGCAGGAACCCGGCGGTTGCTGACCCCTGCACCCCTGTCAGGGTCCCCTCGGGAACCGTCCCGGGGCATGGGCTCCTGCACGGCCTTCGGCAAGTCCCGAGCTCTGAGCTTCAGTTGTTCCGATGATCGGGGAGCTTGGGATGGGCACGATGCCAGCCCGCAGCCTCCTTGGGGCTCTGCACATCTGCCAGGGGCATGAGGTCTGCCTGGCTCCACCCCAGCCTCAGTTTCCCAGACAGTAATCTGATCACGGTGGCCAAGGTGACCCCACAGCTGTCCTGGCTCAGACAATGGGCTCCCCGGTGAGAAGTGCACCCATCAATAATGGATGCCCGTGCCCACGCTCAGGCCGACCCTGCCCTCATGGCTGCCGAAGCCCAGCCGGCTTGGGTTTCACAGCCGCCGGGCCATGGGTGGGGGCCTCTGGACAAAGCCCCAAGGCTGGCTGATGAGGGGTCACTCATCTGTGCCCACTCGCTGGGCTCATGCCCACAGACGCCATGATGCCACCTGCAGCCCAGGACAGGCCGCATGCTCTGCAGTGGTGCTGAGATGCTGCCCCTACCCACAGCCCCCCGTGGCTCCCTGCCACCCTGGGCGGAAACCCCAGCTCTCAGGAACAACAGGACTGCATGTGGCCTTTGTTGTTTTTTTGAGACAGGTTCTCACTATGTAGTTCCAACGGGTCTTGAACTCACTGTGTGGCCCAGGCTGCCCTGGAATTTGCTGCAATCCTCCTGCCTCAGCCTTCTGAGTGCTTGGATGACAGGCATACATATGGCTTCTCTGCATCCCCCACCGTGAGCACTCTCATGCCATGACACACCGACACTGCGAGCCCCCCCATGCAAAGGTCCCCAGCCACGCGCAGGGCCCCCCAGCTCACCTCATGATCTCCTTCCTGGTGAAGAACGTGCAGTCCTGGGGACAGAGGTGTGGCCTGAGCCCTGGCCTGGCCTTGGGCCTGCCCCCCCACCGTCGCCTCCTCACCCGACCCACATGGGTGGCCTGAGGTCCGGAGAGCTCTGCGGGAGCCCACGCTCCCTGCCGCCACCCCCACCTGGTATGCCTCAAGCTGCTCCTGCGTGAACACGGTCTGCTTGCTGCCCATGGCGAGGACCACAGCTTCCCGGGGTGCTGGGGCCGGGCGGCTGCTCGCCAGCGTATGGGCAAATGTCCCTGCCTGCCTGTCACCCCCCACGCGCCCCATCACCCCAGCCTGGCAGACTCAAGTTACAGCCAAGCTCTCTGGGCGGCCTGTGATGGTGTCCAGGGGCAAGGAAAGGGGACAGGTCATGCAGGGCCTCTGTGGGGGACCAGGGCTGCCACCCACGGTGAGGCTGGATCCGGCCCTATCAGGACGCAGGAGGGCTGGCGAGAAGGCTGGGCCACCCGAGCCTCTCCGAGCGCTGCTGCTGGGGTGTCACTTCCCCGTGTACCTCCCTTGTAGAGTCGCTCGAGGATCAGGAGCTAAGGGAGCACTGTGCGGAAGCCGGCTGCAGGCCCAGGGTTGTGACCAGGCTCCGGCACGTCATCCACTTGCTGTTACTGTTACCGGCTGTGTCCCGACTTCAGAAGATGACCCGAGGCCAGAGTCTGAGGAACCCTGGGCCCAGTAATGGACTCTTCAGTGCGGGACTTGTCAGAGCCTTTGCTGTTCTTGTGGGCACCCAGCATCCTCCAAGTGTAGACAGGGCGCTGGCCCTGCCCACCTTGTTAAGACCCAGAATCCTCTGCTGAGGATCCGTGGCGGCAAATGGTCTCAGGTCCATGCCCGCCTCGGTGGGTCCCACCCATCTCCCCACTTTCCTCTCCAGCTCGGTTTCCTGGGCCTCTGCACCCCGAGACCCTGAACCCGCCTTGCTCCTGCTGCCCCGGCCTGGACCTTGCCAACCCTCCCAGCAGGTGGTCCTGCGGCACCCTTGCCAGTCTGCGCAACCCAGGTGTGCAGCCACCTTGTGCACTGTCACGCGATGGGGTGCTAGAGACCCCCCAAGGATGGATGTTACAAACCAACGATTCCCAGAAGGAGGAGCAGGAAGTGGAGGGGGAGGAGGAAGAGGAGGAACAGTCACCAGGTGCGATGGTGCACACATGTAATTCCAGCACGCAGGAGTCACAGGAGGCTGAGGCAGGAGGATCACCGTGAGTTTGAAGCCAGCCTGGGCTACGTAATGAACTCCAGGGCCAGCTTGAACTGCATGGCGAGCTCCCGTCTCAAAAAACTCAAAAAGCTGATGACCTCAGGTGTGGGCGAGGAGATGACGTGAAACAGCTGGAATACAGCCCCTCCCACAGTGGGCTGGCGGGGCTGCAGTTAACAGAGTGAAACCTACACTTCCCACCTGAGCCGGCAATCACACTCCTGCGCGTTACCTGACAGGTACGACAACCTCTACCCAAGCCGGGCATGGGCCACACGCCTGCGACCCCAGCACCTTGGGAGGCTGAAGTAGGAGGGTCGAAAGTGGAAGACCGGCCTGTGTGGGCAACTTCGTGAGACCCTACCTCAAATCCTTAGAAAGGGCTGGGGACATAGCTCAGCGTGAAGGTCCTGGGTCCAGTTTCCTGCACCACCCACACCTGTATTCAACCAAGAGTCAGTTCGCGTGGAACTCTAGCCTGTGCGTGATAATTATATATCAACATAGACTCATCAGCTACTCATTAATAAGCAGAGATTTCTTTTTTTTTTGTCTTTTTGAGACAGGGTCTCTTTATGCAGTTCAGGCTGGCCTTGAGCTCACTTTGTAGCCCAGGCTGGTCTTGAACTCACAGTGATCCTCCTGCCTCAGCCTCCGAGTGCTGGGATTACAGGCATGCGCCACCACGCCCGGCCAGCAGAGATTTCTCGCGTGGCGGAGTCTCCGCAGTTGTGGGAGCCGTGAGTACGGGGAAACCTGTGTCCCTTCCGCTCAGTTTTGCTGTAAACTTAACTACTCAAGTAAGAAATTCTAACAGAACATTTTAAATTGTGGTGAGCTAACCAATGGCCAGTTAAGCCGGGACGCCCAGCTGAATGGAGTCGGCCCAGTGCTGGGTGTGAGGCCCACCTGAGGACTGCTGCCAGCGCCATAAAAGGAGAACTGGAGGGGAAGGTGGGTGCTGTGGATTCTCCTGGAGAAGCTTGCCGTGGCTGGTTTTCCTGACAGGAACTTGACTGTTATCATGGGCGGAGCTCGGGTCCTCACTGGCTGTCGCTGAGGATGGCCGAGGTTCTCTCTGAGGATTCTGGTCCTTAGCTTGAGCTTCCCTTCCTGGCTCCAGTGCAGATCCCTCAGCTGCCGGCACAGATCCTTCACTACACTGATGCAAACTTTTTTTTGGTGGTGCTGGGGATCGGATCTAGGGCCTTGTGCATGCAAGGCGAGAACTCTACCACTGAGCCGCATCCCCAGCCCTGTGGCACAGACTTTCTAGCTTCCACCACTGGCCTTTGAGCCTTCCCAGTGCAGATCCTTCACACGGACTTTCAGGAGACACTGTTGTGGGCTCTGGGCCTCCAGCTGGACTCGCGCGAGATATTGGTGTGGGGTCCAGGGCCTCGGCTGGATTCTCTGGGTCTCTAGGGTGTGGACGGATGTTTTTGCACTCTTCTACATCTAACTGTAGTCTGCATCGACTAGTACAACTGTGTTCACAAAAGACCTCTTCATGCCTATAGAATGGAAAAGATACTGCAAATCGTGATTCCGCTAAGGGATAATGTACATAACACAGAAAGAACTCCTACAACTCAACAATACAAATAAATCAAGAAGAAACATTAGGCTGAGAAAAAAGACTCTGTTTTTACTCAGGTCCAAACACTAAGCTATTCCCACGGTTTGCGGCCGCACAGCTCGGCCCTGCGGCCCCGTCATCCTCAGCAGCATTTAACTTCTCAGCACAGTGAGCGTCCTGCAGTGTAACCGCGGCAAGGTAATGATTAGAGAGCACTGGGGCTGGGGATTTAGCTCTGCGGCAAAGCGCCTGCCTGGCAAGCGCAAGGTTGTGGGTTCGATTCCTGGTACTGGAAGAAAAACAAACAAACAAACAAAAAAGAGCACTGCCAGCCAGGTGTGGTGGCACAGCCTGTAATCCCAGCACTCGGGAGGCTGAGGCAGGAGGACTGTTGCACGTTCAAGATCAGCCTGCGCTACAAAGTGAGCTCAAGGCCAGCTTGCACTGCATAGCAAGACCCTGTCTCAAAAGGACTAAAATAAAATAAAGAACACCGCCACCCAGTGTTGTAGACATTCATATGAAATGTCCAGAATCCGCTTTCTATTCTCTTGCAAGCGGGGGATGAGTGGATTGGGAACGGGGCGGTAACAGAGCCGTCCTCCATCCTCACTGCACTGTGGGGCGTGTTAAAGGGTTTGCAGAAGTTGAGTCAGCTGAGATTATCTGAGCAAAGAAGGACTCACAGTCATGCAGGCCTTAGAACCGAACATTCCCAGATTTCCTCCCACAGGCCCAGTGTTGACAGAAGAGAAAGATGAGCAGGAAGCAGCTGATGGGCTGCAGATGAGCCTTTGCTGCCTGGCGCAGGGGATGGTCATTGGCTGCTGTGATTGGCTGAAGCGTGGCATCCTGTGATTGGCCAAACCTTGGCATCCTGTGATTGGCTGAAGCTTGGCGGCCAGAACTGCCCAGACTAGATTTGAAATTTTGATTCACCTGCCTCAGCCTCCCAAATACTGGGATTACAGGCGTGCACCTCCATGCTCAGCCATTTAACAAGATGTTTTTCTTCACTATGATGGATTTCAATTTTAAAAGCCATAGGATTTTTAAAAATCCTAATGTCTGAGAAATGATACATTTCTTAGATAATAGTATATTTTTTAAAACTTGCAGCTACTCAAGAGACTGAGGCAGGAGGATCACAAGTTCAAGGTTAGCCTGGGAAATTTAGTGAAGCCCTGTCTCAAAATAAAATAGGGTTAGGATGCCACTCCGTGGTAAGTGCTTGCCTAGCATGTTCAAGGCCCTGGGTTCCATCCCCAGCACTGCAGAAAATCCAAGCAACAGGGTGTGGTGGCGCACGCCTGTAAACTCACCACTTGGGAGACTGAAGCAGGGAGATCACTGTAAGTCTGAGGCCATCCTGAACTGCATAGTGAGTTCAAGGCCAACCTGAACTACGAAAGGAGACCCTGTCTTAATGCAAAACAGTTGCTGGGGATGGTAGTGCACACCTGTAATCCCAGTAGTCAGAAGGCTGAGGCAGGAGGATTGCCATGAGTTCAAGGCCAGCCTGGGCTACATAAGCAAGTTGAAGGCTGGCCTGCACTACATAGTAAGACCCTGCCTTAAAGTAAAATAAAATAGCGGGGCATGTTGGTGCACATCTGTAATCCCAGCACTCAGAAGATTGAGGCAGGAGGATCGCTATGAGTTTGAGGCCAGCCTGGGCTACAAAGTGAGTTCAAGGCCAGCCTGAGCTGCATAGCAAAACCCTGTCTCAAAAAGGCAAAAATAAAATAAAATAAAAATGAAAACCAAAAAAAATCTCACCGACCTATTTTCCATGCTGGAGTTTAAACCCAGGGTCCCCACATGCTGGGCAAGCACCCCACCACTGATGACACCCACAGCTCTTCATTTTGTGATGAAGTCTCACTGAGTTGCACAGCTTGGGCTCAAACTTGTGACCTTCCTGCCTCAGCCTCCCAAACAGCTGGGATGACAGGTGTGTTCCCCTGTGCCTGGCATCAGCCTTTTCTTATGATTCGGCTGCCTGTATGGTTTTCCTGGGGGAACTGCAGAGGGTGCACCAGATCTGGAGCCCCGTGGCAGCGCTGTGATGTCGTGAGTGACGCTGCCCATGATGGCTTGGATCAGGTGACCTTTGCATGTTTCTCCACAAAGGACTTCTTTCCATGCTTTTTTCTTTGGAAACAATGGGGGATTTTTTCTCTTTTTCTTTTTGTCTTTTTGAGACAGGGTCTCACTATGCAGTTCAGGCTGGCCTTGAGCTCACTTTGTAGCCCAGGCTGGCCTTGAACTCGCAGCGATCCTCCTGCCTCAGCCTCCCCAGTACTGAGATTACAGGTGCGCGCCACCGTGCCCAGCAATGACGTTATGTTTTCATTGTATGCATACAAAGAAGCAGTACATAATAAT